ATGCTGCTGTACTTCTGGGGGTATTGGGAAACTTATCAGTCATTTCCTCTCCGTCCCACACCCAACCAAACCTTACAGCTTTAAGAGGATGCAGCCTTAAACATCGGCTATCTACTTCCTTTAGGCTTGACCCAGAGAACAATACCTACTTGAGATGGCTCACTGGGATTCAACCATTGAGAATAAGGATTGGTATATTTCTAGCAGCAGAAACATCAGGATCTCAACTTGAAACAAATACAGGGGGAGTTTCATGCACTACAAGCTTTCCACAAAAGGGAGAGAAGAAAGGCATAATTGGTGGCACAAATAGAAGAACCCCCAGGGTTAATTTAAATAACCTCTAAAGAAAACAAAGCCAAGGATACTATAAAACATATACCTGTAAGCAAAACCTTAAATGAGACTGTTGCCAACTTTTTGTCCAGAACTACTCTGTGACAGTTACTTAAAATTAAAAACAAAGTAAGAAAAAGCAAGAGGGAAGTGTCAGGAAGAAAACCAGCAGCTAGATTATCAAAGAGAATCTAACCTGCCCAGAAAGCAAACCTCTCTGACTGTTCTTGGGAGGTGGGAAAATACTCAAATCTTCAGGCAGAGAAGATGATGGCACACAGACCCATTAACACCACACACTTTTCTTTCCCTTCCCTATTTGTACCCAGACAGAAGGGCCCATCACTGAGCCTGCAGATGAAGCAGTTACGACAGCTTGTTAAGTCATTCCTTTATTGTTAGAAGACACCCATGCAAGGGAACGATCCTACATTCAGGGCGCAAGCGAATGAGCAGCAAATAAGAGTGTAGAACAGAAAACTTACTACAATCTCTCAGGCCCCTCCCTTTATCACCCACCATACTCTTACGAAGTCAGCAATATTCTAACTGCCCTGATTAATAATGAATCTGCTTAGGGCAATTTAGTAACTTTTAGAAAGACAATCAGCTTTTTGCTGGGGTCCAGGTCAGAGGTGTGAGCAATCAGATCAGTTTACTGGGTATCAGGAAGTCCTGCCATCAGTCACATAGATCATGCAGCGTTAGCTTCAGCTCATTAGAAAGCAGGCGGTTTCGTTCAAGTGGGCTGTAGAGATGCGCTGCAGCAGCAACAGGAAGGAGAGAAAACAAGAGAGGACAAAGAGGAGGAGAGAGAGGAAAAGGGAAGGTTGGTAGAATACCAGAAATAAATTCGAGACTTTCAACTAGCTGGCATACGTGATATGCATCTGTAAGGCAGAATGGATGCAAGGAAAATTCAGACAGAGGGCAATTAAGAGTCAGTCAGCTGATGGAAAGACCAACAGAGGAATAAAATAAAAAACTCAGACTGAAAAGTTGGAAGGATAACATTTTGAGGCAGAAAAAACATCTCCTTCACAGTATTTATTCCCTGGGTTCAGGGATGGAAACAAATGAAACAGGGCAAAGAAAAGAATACAGTAGAAGTATAGGAAAGATTTATAATAATTAAAAGTTTGAAAGGACTGAACAGTTGATCATTGTTTCTGTAAAAACATTTAATATATCATTATGAATGGTAGATTCAGACAATTATCTCTATACTCACTCAATCCTACACTTTCTAATGGTTCTTGTAGCTACTGGAATAGAGCTTGTCATTGTGGTTAATTCAATCAAAATCCAACTTCCTCTTTTATTTTTTCTTAAAAATTTTATTATTTATTTTTTAGAGAGAGGAGGGAGAAACATCAATGTGAGAAAGAAATATCGACTGGTTGCCTCTTGGACACACCCGGACCTGGGACCAAACCCGCAACCCTGGCAGGTACCCTGACTGGGAATCGAACTGGTGACCTTTTACTTTGCGGGATGACGACCAACCGAGCCACAGTGGTCAGGGTCCAACTTGCCCTGGGATTAACAGTGTGCCCAGCCTCAGGGAAGGTGAATTACTTATACAAGCCAACCAAGGCTATCCAATTCTGTTTTTTTAGCCTCCTTTGCAACTAGGGGCAATCATGTGATCCAGTTCTGGTCAATGAGATGTAGAGGATAACCTGCTAAGAGTTTCTGGGAAATCTGTAGTCGTTACTGCCTTTGAACCTGGATGTGATGACTAGAACTACATATTTCAACCTTAAAAGATCAAAAGAATCACAGAAAGTCCAGCTATATCAGGTTACAGTTGCCCAAGTCTAGACTTAATTATGCAATAAAAATAATAAATCACATGTTTATTTTGGCTATTGTTAGGCTGTTTGTTATAACCAAACATTCCCAATACAAGTAGCTAAGTGCTCATCCGTTGGCTTTGTCTGGATTTTCTACTTGGAGCACATCTTAAAGAGGGGGTATGAAGAATCCAACTCCATCTGACCAGGAGAGGAGTAATAGAAATTTGGGGACAGGAAGGCTAAACTCCTTCCTAGTCTACTAGTATCAGCCTCCAAAGGTTACAAACATGTTTCTTCCTATATTTTACAGTCTGTTTCAAAATTATATCAAGATCTCAATATGAAAAAAATACTTTTCTGCTGTAAAATCAACTGGATCTGTGGGCTGACTATAGGCATTGCTCAGACACCTTGCCTATTTGGCTGAGGTTTTCCCCAGCTCCACCTGGAAGCTGATGCCAGTATGGTCCCAATAATACTTTACACTTTATATATACTATCAAAACCAAAAGCATGTACGTATAAAAAAATCTAGGAGAGAATACCAAAAAATAAAAGTTATATTAAGGGGCAGGAATTAGAGTGAATTTTTAAAATTGAACTGCCCTTTAAACCTGTGGTTCTCATTAAACCTGTGGTTCTCAACACAAGTGATACTGCTCCTCCTCTCCCCACAAAGGGAAATCTGGAGATATGTGGAGGCAGGCTTTAATTGTCACAGTAACATAAGTTCATCTTTGAGAAACACTATACTAGTCTAGAAGCTCCATGAGGCCTGGAATTCAGCCTGTCTTATTCACTAGGATACCCCTTACATAAGATTGCATGTGCAGCCTGACTCCTCCATAGTATCTATATCCTAGTTAGTGTGACTACCACTCCTGTCTTGGAAAGAAGGTGTATTCAGAATTTTATCCCTCAAAATGGTCTGGTCAATGAGGGTTTCGATTCATTTAAATGAGAAACAGAGACAGAGAAGTGGGAGCATTTTACTGCCTGATTAATTTCCAGAACACACAGTTGCCTAAAATTTGCATGAGGTCAGAAAGATAAGTGAGGCTGTTCTCACAGAACTTAGTAAGTTTCTAACTCTACCATCTCTCTAGTGACCAAAATTTCAGGATCCGATACCAGCTCATTAAAGTTCCTGGTTCTCTGGTGACAGCAAAATAAAACAAAACAAAAAAGGCAATCCACAGAATCCATTTGGTCTGATGTTCTTTTTAGCTGCCCCTAATTAATTAGGGAACAATCTCATGAATGCTAGACATCCTTAGGCTTCATCATCTGAATTAGGTCAATTTCATTCTGTAACAGGAAAGGGCTATGGGCTCAAAGTAAAGGGAACTATATCAACTTTAAAGGCACAATGTTCAAAGAATGAGAACAAGTAAATTTTGCTTTTGAGTTTTTCTCCCCTCCCCCCATGTTAAGGCTGGGGAGTATTCAAATATCACGTGAAAGGAAGAGATTAGGTGGGGCTAAGATAAGGTTGTGTGAAAAAACAGGTCAGTTCCATCCGCCAGGTAACTTGGCCATTTTGTTCTTCACTCCAACAATGGTAATGAGGAAGTAAAGAACACACATTATCAGCCTGTAGTTCTTTCTTAGAAATTAAGAAAAGAGGAAAAAGTTAAGAGGTCAAACACTTTACTCTGAGATTACCAATGATGCCTGACCCCATTCTCATAGCTGGCCAGGCTTAGCTATCATCCGATACAGAGTATTAAATGAAAGAATGAATTTAACATGACACAGTATTTCAAATTTTACTCAGCTTCCCTGGCTTGCTGAGCTCTATCCTTGCTCGCACCAGTCCCGTTTATGGGGAAAGACGGGAGCCACCAGAAGAGCAACACTTCACTTTTCTCCTTATCTCCTCTCCATTCTCTCTTCTTTCCTTTCTAAGAAGCCTTTTTCTGTGTCAAAGTCAACTCCTGCCCAAACATTAGAACATCTAGTATGGTACTGTCCAATGCAGTAGCCATTACCCACATGTGGCTTATAAAATTTAGATGAACTAAAAGTAATGAAATTAAATTTAGCCCCTCAGTAATATTAGCCACATTTTAAATGCTCAACAGCGATATGTAGCTAATGTCTATTTTCAACCAGCTCACTCTTTTGCTCCTTGAAATACGGCTCCTCTCCTTGCTCTTAAGGCTCAAAATGTACCCTTCAAATTAATAGAGTATCAATGACAAAGTCCTATCTTCAGTATATTCCTTCTTAACCTGTCAAAGTTAAGAATCACTGGAAATCATCCAGTGCTGAACTTCATAAAGTATCAAAGCTACTAATTCTCCTTCTGTCCCTTCAACCAACTTTATTTTGGCTTCCTCCTCTACAGATTTCCCTCTGCTTAATTCTTCTTTTATACATTTGCAATTGTCTTTTAGCATTCTAATTTGCTTTCATGGCCTAAACTGTCACTCTTATAAATTGCTAAATCTTACATGAAGCTTGCCCCCTCAAGCCCCTGGATTTTGTTTCACCTGGATACTTGCCAGTTTTTCAGACTTATGTATTCTTCTCAACTTTCCCTGTCTCCCCAAACTAGTACCACGTGGCCTCCCTACACCTTTACCACAACCATTTTCCTATGCTCAAAATCAGCCCTCCTTGACTTTTCCTGGTCACATATAGGGGCCAGGCCCTTCAAATACCTATCTTCAGCGCCCTCTCTTTACCACCATTACTCTGGTTCAGATTATATCTCTGAGAAAACTGCAATAAACTAACCCAGTATTTCCCAAAGTGTGGTATAGTCACTGCTGAATGGTAGGTGAGAAGATGTCAAGCAGTATGCATCTGTGAATTTTTAAAAAATTTTATTAGCTGTATTATTTTAATGTGCACTAGCAAAAAACACTAGCCCATACCAAACCTTTGATTTCAAGTTAGAATTGTATAGAGTAAGAAGAAAACAAATTTGAAAACAAGAGTAAATTTTAAGAAAATAATAATGTAGGCAGCAAGTGAATATGGCAAGTCCCCAAGTGGTATACAAATTACTGAAATTTGAGAATAGTTGTCTTAATGGATGACTTTGATAATCTGCTTCCCTTCTAATATATATTCTTAATTCAGCTGCCAAATCAACTCTACTCATATCCTACACAGACCAGAACACATCCTTTGTCGAAATCTCCAGTGAAGTCCCTATCACTTACAAAGTAAGATTAAGCTCCCTAGCTTGCTTTCAGCAGACACCTGTCCCTTACTGAGTCTACCTTTAGAGATATCATGTCCTTCCCCTCTCTATGCCTTTGTTCTTTGGCTTCTTTTTGACTGTTCTGTGTCCACTACACCTCAACCAAAGTTTGCTTGTCAAAAATCCAGTAAAAATGAAGAAGTGAGTTTTACCCTCTTTATTAGGTACTTATTACATGCCTCCTTTCGTGAGTCTCTGTCAAACATCCCCACAGGAATCATTCTCCTCCCCCTAGTAAATCCCACAGCATTTTATTATTTATGGCACTTATCACATATCATCTTTAGCTTTATATATATATTTTCTCTCTCTTTCCAGATTCTGAGCAACCCATGAGTTTGGATGGTATCTCCATCTTTGATTACTTCTGTCCCCACCTTAATATCCTGTACCTAGAAGACATCAGGTAAGTGTCAGCAAGTAACTGAATCTATACCTTAATCTCAAAGGCCGGGTGGCAGGAAGAAATGTTATAGAGCAAAAAAACACCTGAAGTCAGTGAGACCTAAAGGTTTAGATCGTGGAAAACCTCTCTACCTGCCTCTGTCTGCTTAGGAGTTTCTGAAATGCTGATCTTTAATTCCATAATATAAGCCAGGAACAATTTTACTGGCAGAAATTTATCATATTAATGCACATGATAAATCAGTATCACCTGTGCACATTACCTGAACTAGGTATGCCTAAGTGTTTTAGGTTTTCTTTAGAAAAAAAAATTTTTTTTTTAAATTTATGAGCGAGAGCACGCGAGAGCGAGAGCGAGATCAATCCACCACTCTCTCTACCCAGTCACATACCCATAGATCGACCCTTGCGTGCTCCCTGACTGGGAAAGGAACCCTCAGCCTTGGAGCATCGGGACAATGTTCCAACCAACTGAGCTACCCCAGCCAGGGTGGTTGTTTTAGTTTTTCCAGTAATAATCACTTTTCACTTGTCTCATATTCCACTAGCATATAGCAGGAGGTTAATGGTAGTAAGTCTCATATATGCAAGGATGGTTTCAAGAAAACATGGAATTGTTGAAAATTCTACCCATTATGTATTTTTCTGTGATTTGGGATAATATAATTATTCAGTTTTAGTGGTAATACATTTGGGTACACGAGATGTTCTAAGGTTCCATTTGAACCACAGGTAAAGGGTAGAAAATGTGTACTGGGAAGCACTTCAATGGCCTCTTGACCTTACTCTATAGGAGAACTTGAATAAAGGATAGAACATTCCATGTGGTATGATTTAGGAACCTGGAAGTAAAGGATTTAGATGATCTTATTCAGCTTGAAGAGTAAGACTAGAGCACCTCTTCACACCCATCACTCTTGATAGACTCAGATCAGCTGAGTTTAAATGTCAAGAAAAAAATAGACACACACACAAAAGTGGCTTTGATTATATAAGTCAGAGGAGGGAGAGCCTATATCTATTCCCCATATCACACTCCCAAGGCTCCTTAGGGACAGCAGCAGCTTTGTCAATGACCAAATGCAGGGTCGCATGAAGCTTCCAGCAGCTTAACATTTTAATTTGGGGTGGGGGTGAACAAGAATACATAAGTTGCTTTGTGGCCCCCTGCTCTTTCTAGTGCCTTGGGGACTGGTCAGGCTGACCCAAATGGAATCCAGAGTGAAAGTGGGGTGGTGGGTTCCCCGCAGAAAGGGGGCAGATCCAGGACAGAGCAGAAACCGTGGTAAGTTATCTGTATGAAAAAGTAAGGAGACTCTAGGTGAGAAGGACTAGCATCAATCTACACAACGACTCAGGAGAAAGGAAGCGGAGAAAAAGGGAGAGGTAGCAACAGGAATGATAGGAGAGCCAGACACTACAGCCTGAGTCATTTGGCTTCTTTTCAGGGTTAGCGGGAAAGATACAAAGAGGCAGATTAGCATCAAGATCAGGGATCCACAGCAAACAGGTGAAGTTCCCAAAAACTTTTTGGTGCTTTTTACTACCTGGCTTGCTCTGGGACTAAAATTTGGGAATCACATTTAATTTGTAGGTAAATTTGACTATTTCCAATTATGGGTGTTTCCTCATACTACATGAATTTTAGTATCAGGTCACAATCAAATACACACAGGAGGTCTGTGTTTTGTTATGTAGTGTTAGGGCCCAAGTCCATGGTTCTCTGGGCCCTACTCTCTTAGTTATATGATGACATGATCCCTTCTGCGAAGGTCACATTTGAGCAACAAATAGTAAATTCAGTGTTTTAATGGAGGCACTATGAATAAAAATTACATGTAGATGACCCCAGATTAAATGCCTTCCAAACTTTTGCCAATAAGTAACCAGCACCAATGTTTTAAAGATAAGGGTGAGGATTATAGTGTCTGGAGGATAAAACCAAAGCGTACTATGCATAGTCCATACCCCCACCCACCCATAAGCAGCCCCAATCTGCTGTCAGATAGTTACATAGAGGTCATGTCATTGAGGGCGTGGTCCAGCTCCTCGCTAATGGCCTTGTACTTCAGTTTCTGGGCATAGAGCTCATCTGGACAGGCACAGGAACCACAGGGAAGAACAAGGGGACAGAGTGAAAGGTATCAAAAGCAGATGAAGAGAGGGAATCATTAGAAATTAGGGAAAGTGTGACTGTGGGTCTAACACCACAGTTAAGAGCACACCTATACTGGCAGCCATAACTGGCCATTTTCAGATCCACTGTCTCCCAAGACAAACTGGGCTTCTTGACACCTCTAAGGACTGCAACAAGAGTTGAGAACTTAGACACTGTCGTGACTAGAAATTCCTATTATTTAAGGCACTTACGAGGTTACCACTGTAATCCAGTTAACCCAATCTCTAGCAGTGATAATACTTAACAAAAATTAAAAACAGGGAAAGTACAGGTTACTATGAGACACTTTTCTAGCTACCAAGGATGACCAGATACTTGGCTCCTTTGTCCTACAAACTTGCCTCGCCAAACTCTCCCAAAGAATATTCTGGTACTTAGAGTAAACCAAAAGAGCATACTTCAGAATCCTCAGAGCAAAGTACTTTTACCCTTGTTAAAGCGGACACAGTTGCCAAACTGTGGGGACAGGAAGTATTTAGAAAGCCCCCATCACTGGTCAGCTCTGAGACATGGTTATTGCACAGCTGCCTCTCGTGCAGAGGTCCCCCATGACCTGAGTGGTGACCAGATCTGCCAAAAGCAGCCTCAGAGAGACATGTGTTCTTGTTGCCTTCTCAAAGTATGGCTATCATTTCAAACTAGAAACTAAAGATTTAAGACTATTAAATGGGTGATAAACACAGCCATTATCAGTATCCAAGGAAAGAATACAAATTCCAGAATGTTAGGTGAAGTCTTACTAAAGGAAAAGATTAAATGTAGAAAGCCAATCCTATTCTAGGGGTTTGACCCCCTCCAGCTAGTTGCGTCAGGGCACAGGGCGTATGCCAAGTCAGTACCAATTCCCCTCGGGGTCCAGGGAAAGGCCTTCCTCTATATTTCCATATTTTAATCCCTCTCCCAGGCTCCATACCTTCCAAGTCATCAATTGTCTTTTCCAGTTTGGCTACCGATCTCTCAGCAAACTCGGCACGGGTCTCCGCCTAGGGGAAACGGGAAACTAGTCAGAATCAGAGATGAACAAGACAAGTAAGAGAAGAGTGTCTATGTATCCTCACTGTCTACTTTTATACCTTCAAAGCTAGGCAGTCTATATTAGACCTTTTTTTTTAAAGATTTTATTTATTTATTTTTAGAGAGAGGGGAAGAGAGGGAGAAAGAGAAGAAGAGAAACATCAATGTGTGGTTGCCTCTCGCATGCTCCCTATGTGGGGACCTGGCCCGCAACCCAGGCATGCGCCCTTACTGGGAATCGAACCGGCAACCCTTTGGTTCACAGTCCAGTGCTCGATCCACTGAGCCACACCAGCCAGGGCTACATTTTGCCATATATACCTCTAAATGTTTGGGTGCTTCCCCTCCGCTCACCTCTTTGAGTTTATCAGTAAGAATCTTTATCTCTTCCTCATATTTGTCTTCTTTTTGAGAGTACTGTAAGATAAATAGAATAAAAATTTCAGAGTAGAATTTACACAGACAATACCTCCCCCTGGACCCACATTTACTTTTACATTGAACATCTTCTTGAATTTAATGTGCTAAATGGTTGGTCCATAAGAAAGAGCAAGGCCCATTTCTGGACAACAGGTCCTTAAAATCCACAAATCAGTGTCCTGAGAGCCACGATACCCTTATTTTTTGAATGAACCTAATCTTTGATCTTATTCAGATCAACCCACTTAATGAGTAGGTGTAGTGACACCCCAAGGGCACATGATGATAAAGGTAAGTCTTATGTTCTGACTGCTCAGTAGGTCTCAATCTGATACTATGTTGCCTACATCTGCCTGCTAGAAAACCTGTTAGGACCCATGATTATTGTCATTCAGCACAGCAGTATCAGCCGGAGGAAAACATGACCCCAGGCACCTGAGACCTTGAAGTTATTTTAACTAAAGCAATCGAAGTGCACAGGAATTAGCTTTAAACCCAGAATCCAGATAGAGGGTGTGTAGGAGAGGATACTTCTCACTAGATTATATAAGGGATGAGTTTCTCCAGTCTTTCATTAAGGGCAGGGCTGGGCCCAGGCCCCCAAAGCCTGTCACTTTCACAAACCAGCCCCTACCTTCTCCGCCTGAGCCTCAAGAGACTTGAGGTTGTTGGTGACATTCTTCAGCTCCTCCTCCAGCTCAGAACACTTACTGTGAATATTTTACATACCGCAGGAGAGGAAAGGGGGAGAAGAAAAGAATAAAAAAAAAGGGAGAGAGACACACAGACATGAATTGAACCTATATGTAGAAAGAGTTGGAAGGCATACCAGGGAAAAGAGAAGGCCCCAGATAATCTGAGCAAGTGTCAACCCTCCTCCCTCTACCACAGACCATGTCAGGAATGGGACCCTCAAGGGGTTCGGCCTCAGACTGTTTGGGTATCAATAAAGAAAACTCTTGAGAGAAATCACTACCAGGAACAAGTCATGACTTCTACCAGGGGTGGAGGTAGAACAGATGCCCAACCCAACAGTCCCCCAAATTGCCCAAGGGAAGGAAGAGACCCTGTGGAGAGGCAGTGAAGCAACTACAAAAGAAAAGAAGATGCCAAGAAGTGGAAAAGAATGGAGCATTCCATGAAAAGGTGAGAAAGCACTCAAACAAGTCAACCAGTGGAGGGGAGGCAGCTGCAAAACAAAAACAAAACCACACCATACATATAACTTCTCTGTGGGTTTAATGGTTAGTACCTTTTCTTCAGCAGCACTCAGACACTTCAGGGTCTGGTCCATCAGTCTGATCTGCTCATCCATCTCTCGGCAACGGCTGTTAGTGATAGTCACGGGGTTCGCACAAGCCAGGTTGTGGGGAGGGAGAAAGATCAAAAGGGAACACAGCAAGAAAACAAGCAGCAAAATGGAAAAAAAAAATTTTTTTTAAATGGGAAGAAAACACCACAATGGGTATGATATGTCATGTCTGAGGAGAGGGGATTGCAAGCTAAGCACAAATACATATGCACCAGCATTAACTTTGTTATACAAGGCCCAGGAGGTGCCAATAGGGTAGCCGTTCATGCCTGCCCTTGCCCTCACGTTGCACAGCAAACTGACAAAGTGGTAAAAACAGGCAGACCTTAGTGCAGCAACTTCACTGCCTCAGCAGACCCCTCAAGATGGAAAAACCCAGTAGGGCCTTCCAATTAATGGTTCATCATTTATTAGTCTTTATTTTCCCTCAACTTACAAACCTTCCCTGCAAGAAATAAGAAAGCCTGTCACTAGTCAAGAGTAAAAAAGTCCAAAGCCATTCATAGGGCCTAAAAAAGGACTATAGATAATGCCCACTCTCTAGGCCCTGTGTAACAAGGTTGAATGAATGCGAGCTTATTCACATTAGTGCCCAAGCCAAAGGGGAAGGGACAGAATATAAGGTAAAGATTTGAGGAGCAAGATACTCACGACTCTGCCAGCTCAGCTCGTTCCTCTGTGCGTTCCAAATCGCCCTCAATAATCACCAATTTACGAGCCACCTACAGGAGAAGACAAAGGAGCCACTCAGCAAAGCAAAGGAGGAGCTACTTCCTTTCTCATGGTTCCTTTCAGAAACCCGATGTCACTGACAAGAGAGGATGTCACAAACAAAAGGTGACTTACCTCTTCATACTTCCTATCTGCCTCTTCTGCAATGTGCTTAGCTTCTTTGAGTTGGATTTCCTGGAGTTCCATCTTTTCTTCATCTTTTAAAGCTCTGTTTTCAATAACCTTCATACCTCTGTCAGAAACAATACGGACAAATGTGGCACTGACACTCTCAGCAACTCATCACTAGCTCCACTCCAAGGGATCCAGAATTGCACTTACAAAAGACCATTCCTCGTGCCCTGACTGGTGTGGCTCAGCCGGTTGGGTGTCATCCCACAGACTGAAACGTTGTTGGTTCAATTCCCAGTCAGGGCACAGGCCTGGGTTTCGGGCTGGGACATTCGAGAAGCAACTGATTGATGTTTCTCTCACACATTGGTGTTTCTCTCCCCCATCCTTCTCCCTCCCTTACCCTCTCTCTAAAAATAGTAAAATCTTGAAGAAGAAAAAAAAAGACCATTCTTCTGCCGCTCAAAAAGAATTCCCATAACATCCCCGACCCCGACCTTAGTTCATTTAGTTTTAAACCTTTATAAAGATAACATACAATTGCTAAAAAATTAAGTATTTAAGTGTATAGTTTAAGGGCATAAAACGAAACTAAGTCTCTTCATTTCCAGTCTGCTCATCAGAGGCAGTCACTTCTCAATCATTCCATAAGTGTTTTCTATAGATAAAAATGCAAAAAACCTCATCCCCACTTTCCCATTGCCTTAAAGGAATCATATACTTCACTGTTTTGCAACTTTTTTCTCACTTTCTGTAATTTGGACATTACCCTGTAATAGTATAGACACAGCTGGCCGTCTTACTCATTTTCACTGCTGCACTATGTTAATGTACTCACAGTAGGGCATTCTGAATTCTAAAAAGCCTCAGTTTGATCCCATGCAATACATCACATCTCTCTGTTCTAGTTTAAGTCACATATAACAAGGAGCCAAGTGGTTATTTTCAGCAAAGATGAGTTGTGCTTTGGTTCAAGGACTATGCTTCTCAATCCTGAGCATACATTAAAATTATTGGAGGAACTTTAAAAAATATCCATGCCCAGGCCCCTCTCGTAATGGATTCTAAGTGAAATGGGGTGGGACCCAGGCATTCTGATATTTTAAAACTCCCCAACCATCCCCATCCCTCACTCCCATGTGTCTAACAGTGCAGCCACGGTCAAGATTTTATTAAAACACTGATTGCTGGGCTCTACCTCCAGTTTCTGACTCATAGATCGGGGTAGGGACTGAGAATTTGAATTTCTACCAAGTTCCCAGGTGCTCTTGGCGTGGAATCCCACTCTGAGCACCGCTGCTTTAGAGGGACTAATCTCACAAGTAAGTTTATGATTCACTAAGTGGAGGTCATTCTAGTGACCCTATTTAAGAACTTCTAGAGAAACACCAATTACAAAAGGGTCACAGGGTCCAGGGAACCCTTATTGTGTCTTCAGCTGCAGAAAATATGCAGAACAGAAGGAATGAAGATCCTGTAAGAAAGGTAACTATTTCAAAAAAACAGATTTATAAGGAAATATTGATTACAGCCATTTGAAATTTATTCTGAAGCGCTCGCGTGCACGCTTCATCAGTGCCCTCCTACATACCTCTCACTTTCATCAGCAGCTTTCTCAGCTTCCTCCAGCTTTTGCAGGGCAGTGGCCAGGCGCTCCTGAGCACGGTCCAGCTCCTCTTCAACCAGCTGGATCCTACGGTTCAAGGAGGCCACCTCCGCCTCAGCCTGCATTTGAGTAAAAGATAGAAAAAGGAGGCAGAGGCACGGTGAAACGGACAGAACTAACTGCAACAGTAAGCTTGGGGTTGACTACCATGAAGGAAGCTTACAGTCAGAGTAGAACCTGCCTTAGCTCTCAGACATAAGATCCAGCAGGCACAATTATGTATCTATGGCATTTCTAGCCTTCTTCCTTCAACGAACTCCTGGATGTTCCACAGGAAGAGTGTTTTAAAACTCAGCTCCTTGCCCAGCCCAGTGTCGGTACCCCCACTTTCTGGACTCAGTTCAAATTCCAGATCACATGAGTGTCAGAAACAGTCGCCAGTGAAGGGTTCCTACTGTCTGAGCTCTGGCTTGGAGGTGTTCTCACATTTCAGTGACTTTCTTGTAAGTGTCTAAAAAGGGAGAATAAATAAGCAAGGTTTCTCAAACAGGGAATCTTGGATTACCTATTAATTTGCACTTAACTCAAGTTGTTAACCTCTGATTACCCTACCCTAACACACCAGATGGATTAGTCACCAAGAGAACATTTCCAGAAAAACCTTCCATGTCCGAAAGTGAAAGAATAGTCCACTGGGATATCTACTCCCCGTCTTTTTAAAGTTGACAACAAGGAGCTTCTTTTGACTAAAATTGCTTGTTTTGATGACATTACAAAAAGAACTGGGGTCAAGAGAACGTCTTCTCCATGTCCACAACCACTCCCAATTTCTGAATTGTGGCTCCTTCCTATCCCACTAGTCATCCTCTTAGCCTCATGGCCTCACCCTCCAAGTACAGTTTAGGGCAGTCCTCTCCCTGGCCTCCACCCTGTAATCAAGCATAGACTGGAGTCCAAGAAATCCCATGCCTCCTCCTCCTTAGTAATGGAATGAGAAACAAGGAAAGAAGGCAGCCACAGGCAGGTAAATTCTACTGGTAAAAAAGCCTCCCTCCTATGACTGCCTTTCCCTTCCCTACCCCTTTGCTGGTGGCAAGTATGCTGACTACAACAACCACAGAAGAATTTAACCTGCCCTGCACACTACCCAGTTTAGATGCTTATCCAAGTGCTTGGTAAACACGATCTCTCTCCTACAGCCCAGACTGTGCCTGAATTCTATTACCCTGATTTCCTCCAGGCAGTCAAGGGTGGAGGCAGCTACAGAAATAATCTGGGCCACTCACCAGTATGGGGAAGGATATAGCTCAAAAGACTCCTGTTAAGAATTAGGTTATTTGACACAAAACTTCCAAACACAAGCATGGGAGATTCAAGGGACCAGGCGGGGGTCAGACAAATATGTAAGCAACAACCTACAAGAAAAGAAAATCGAGAAGTCTACATAAACTGAATGTACTAAGAAACTGTCTGTATCTCTAACTATACAACTCAAGCTACCACAAAGACAAGTATTTGCTGGTCCTGTCTCTTCCAGAACAGATGTCTCCTAGGACAACACACATTTCACCCCACAAATTCAAAAAGTCATGATTACAAGAACAAGTCAGCCTATCAGGCAGAAACACTGCCAGTATAATTCACCTCACCCCACCCCAGCCCCAGATACCTAAAACTAAAAACACCAGATTTGGAGAAAGCTCATGTATCTCAGTCCCCTTCCAGCTCACCAGCAGCTACCCAAAAGGAGCAGAAGATAACAGGCTCTGGGGGCGGGGGTGCAAAATTTCCATGACAACAAGCTGGCTCTGGCAGTTTCTCCTGCAAATCAGCATTTACAATAGAATTCTTCTCAAGACTGAAAAGGGAGGAGAAAAATACAGCTCGGTGTTCTCGCAAGAGCAAGCACGCGTTAAACAAGTCCGTGTCCAAAGCAGAACCCTAGATGGGATGGGTGTCCCAGCATGAGCCTTCAGAGACACCCCCCACCTTGGGGTGCAGTGGCTGTTCTCTGTTCCCGCCTCCAAGAGATCAGTTCTCTTTAAAATGAAACAAAAGCTCTGCTGAATCAAGACATGTTACTATAAGGAATTCCTTCAAATCAGAACCCATGCAAAATGCCTGTCAATCAGTCCTGTCAAGAGAATGAATGGGACTAATATCTGCAAGCCAAAATGGGAAACATGGCCCTGGGAAACATTAAGTTTTATGCTATTCTAATCATCCTAGGTGTAACATGCCAGATGTGATTTTGATCTTTCTGGCCCCCACCTCTGCCCAGCATGGAGGACACACTCTGAGGTCCTTCCTTCAGGTAATAATAGAATTCTCCACTGCCCAGGAAGCAAAGATCCCCAGGGGAAAGGGAGGGAAAACAGTAATTCAGTCACAAGAGAAAGATGGCTGACAACAGCTTCAGTCATGAAAGAGTTTGGTTTAAATACTACCATCCTCCAAGCTAAAGAAGTTCCCCAAACATACCACACCCCTCAAGGCAAGAAACCGAAACCAACAGGGCACTGGTGCTAGGATCTAGATCAGGGCCAAGGAGAGAGGGGAATTAGCCTAAATCTGGCATTCTGCTACTCTGGGGTTTCTCTTTTTAGACAAAAGCCACAGATAAAATTCAAAAGAAATGAGTAACGAAGTTAGGCTTGAGCCCTGTGAGTAAAGGACTGCTCCAGTTCACTGTGTTCACAAATATATCTACGCTGGGAGATACTGTGTCCTTGGGGACTTTAATTTCACCAAGGGGAAGGCAAGAGGGAAGGGAGTAGAGCTATCGGCCCCAGAGTAAACAAAGGTGGAGTCTAAATGGAGGCACTCAGAGCAAAGGGCTATTTGCCTCTCCCCTATGAGTGTGTGCTCTAGTATGAAGGGAAAGTGAGGTATCATCAGGAAAGCAAATCTTAACCAAAGAAAGGTGGTAAAACGTGCTGCTTAGTCCTCCAGACCCCACACATAGGAGAGAGCCACACAACAGTCATACATTCTAACCCCTCCAGAGACTAGGAATTTGGGAGTAAGGCCAGAATTGAAACTCCTGCTCAAAGCCCACTGACTCCCTCAATAGGATTCCTAAAATGTTTAGCCCACAAAAGAAGAGACAAATACCAAGGGAGGTTAGGAGAGAGGTAAGAGAAACCATACAAACTGGTTAAAATGGTAAATGTTGCCCTTGCTGCTGTGGCTCAGTGGATTGAGCTTTGGGTTGAGGACCACAAGGTCACTGGTTCAAATCCCAGTCAGGGCACATGCCTGGGTTGTGGGCCAGGTCCTCAGATGGGGGCGTGTGAGAGGTAACCAGTCAATGCTTCTCTCCATCTCTCCCTCCCTCCCCTCTCTCTAAAAATAAAGAAATAAAATCTTTTTTAAGAATTTAAAAAATGGTAAATTTTACATTGCGTATACAGGGTCTGGCAGAAGCAACGCCTGCTTGCCTATAGTTGGTAGTGTAATAATATGGGTGTAGTAATTTAGTTTTAATTTGAACATTTCACTTAAAATGTCATATGGTGTGCTTGAATGTGATATTGTTCTGTTACAGAATTACATGCTTATGATTTTGTAATCAAAAAGGGGCGTTATTTGTGCTGGACCTTGTATTTTTAACACCATCATAACAAGGGGGGGGAAAACTGATAAAGAGAAAGGCTGCATTTCAATATTATGTTGCCATCTATTTAAGGTCAGCAAAGGAGACTCAAAATTGAAAGTGGGCCCTGGCCAGATAAGATAGTTCAGTTCGTTAGCATTATGGTGATACACTAAGGTTGCGGGTTCAATCCCGGGTCAGGGCGCACAGAAGAAGAAATCAACCAATGCATGCATAAATGAGTGGAACAACAAATTGATGTTTCTCTCTCATTCTGTCCCTCCTCCTTCTCCTGTCACTCTCTCAAGTCAATTTAATAATTTTTTTTTGAAAATCAAGGGTGGATTTGACAAGGTGCTACATTATAAAAGATCGATCTTCATGCCAAAGTAGGAAGGAAAGATAGATCCCAGAACGCCTCTACAGCCTGGAGTCAGCCAGCTTCCCAACAAGGATTGGATGTTCACACAAAGCAGCCATAAAAATATTAAGTGACAACCTCACTAACAGCATGCCATCAGGGATGTGCAGAGCTTCCGGTGCCAGAGGGAGGTGCCTGCAAAACCCATATTCCAGAATGTCCTAAGAGGTAACAGGTAACCAAAGCCACCCCACCACCCTGCCCACAGATGTCTCTTCAGGAGGGGTTCAAAGTTCACTAGAGCAGGAAATCAAAAGATTAGGTTCACTCAAGCTGGGGAGTAGAAGATACTAGTTTCATCAATATTTAACTATCACCCTACTTCCCTATCTGAGGACTTCCTCCCTAGACCTCAGTTCAGAAAGCAAATGTGACAGGCTCTGAGTGAAGAAGTAGCTGAAGAAACATCTGAAGCTGCCACCTGTCACCCTAAAATCACCAAGCGTGAAAAAAGAGAGCTAAGTTTTCCTACAAGGAAAATTACCAAACCCTAGGAAGCATGGGGTCTGTGTATGTGGTATCAATCCATCCCAGGCTCTTCTTAGGATGCCTACACTTAAATGTTGAGCCTAAAACTGCAGCTGAAAATATATGGCTACTTCCTTCAGCCACCCTCTCTCTTCCCCTTTAAGGGGATCTAGTCTCCAGAACAAAGGAGATGAGAAAATGTCACTAGTCATAAAGAGTCACCCAGCCAGTCCATCTCACTTGAGTTGATAATTAGAAGTTACTGGCAAAATGAACAGAGGAAAAATCCACTGAGAAAAAAGTGACTGAGTAGGACAAGCCCCCAGCATTTTGACGCCCAATTATAAAAAGAAATGAGTATTCTAACAATCTAAGTATTAACGTGGAGAGCAGCTGCCCCAACCCTTTTCCCCCTCAAAAAATCATTCTCTGCCACTTCCCAGAGGAGCAGCCAAAAAGAAGGGAAGGGGGGGGGGGGGACCTACCAAGAGAAAAAACAACAGGGATTACCAATAAAACCATAAGAATTCTTTCATTGGGTCTTCAAATTTTAGCAACAGTTACTTTCCTCTCCAGCCTCACAATCCTCCAAAATCAAAGCCTCAACTCAGGAGATCAGCTCCACCCACTAGTCTGCACCCTAGAACTTGGAAAATCTTATGGCTCACTAAAACTACTCCACCACTTCTAAACAGAAAGCGGTTTCAAGAATCACCATTCATTCCATCAACATTGTATGTTCCAACTTTCCGTTGACAACTATTAATTGAACTTTTAAAAAAGGCACTGGTAGGTAAGTACCATTACTAGAGCTCCCTAGGAACTCATCAGTCTGTCTCCATCAACCACAGCACCTAGTCAACCAGAAACCTTGACAGAGGCTGGCACCTCATCCGATTCTCTGCAACATACACCCGCTTATCAGTTCTGCTTGGAATAAGTGTCCTTAACCGGTTCAGCTTGCACTGATCAATCACATTTCAGCAATAAAGGCCTGAATGTGGCAGAATTTCCTGCCTTCCAGGTCCTCATGGGTAGGGCTATCCAGTTTTTTTGGCTCCTATATTTGCAATAACTTACGGGGATAAGTACCACCTACGCCCCTCTCGCTCCGCGTCGATTGAGAGAGTGGATTTAACTGCCGCAAGGGCTCCCAGTAAGAGAAAAGGGGCCCACACCGGAGGATGAGAGGCGGTGCTGTGGCCTCGACCTCTTTCAGTGAGGGCGCCGCGCTTCCTCTCAGCCGACTGCTGCCTCATTTCCTGAGCAAGAGGGGGGAGCGGAAAAGCTGCCAGCGGGCCAGGCCGGGGGCTTTCCGGCTGTTCTCCCCCCCCCCCAAGCCCCACCCTTTCACAGTGTCAGGCCCTGCCCATCCCAGACCAGAGAAAAACCCACCTCTTACCCCTAGGGCCGGAAACCTCAAACGAGAGCAAAGTGCCCCCACCTCTAAACGGGGAGTGGGGGAGGGAGAGGCCGCTGAGCCCCTCCCCCAGGCCGCGCTCGGCTTCGAGGGACTGAATGAATGAGCTGGAAAAGAGGAAAATCACTTCCTAGGCCCGGTGAGGCTCAATTCCTTCGGAGGTCAAGGCTGCTCGCCTGAGCACCCAGTTCCCCCTCGCTCACTCGAAGCCAAGCCCCACCCATCCTCCGGGCTCCGGCTTCATCCCAGCGTCTACAATCCCCTTGAGGGCTGTACCCTACCGAAAATAAAGGGACCCAGTTTCGTGTCGCAGCTGTTCCAGCGCCTGCCCCTCCCTCACGCGCCTTGCTCTCCCGGTACCTGTTCCCGGGCCCGCCTTTCTCCCTCCACTTCCCGCTGGAGGCGCTCGGCCCTCTCTTCTGCATCATCGGCCTGTTGCTGCAGGACTTGGATCTTGCGTTTCACCGCCTCGATGGTGGTGATCCCAGCCATGGTGCCCACCCAGCTCCTGGTCCCGCTCAGCTGCCTGCCTCCTCCGCTCGCAGCTGCAGCCGCTCACCCTACTACTTCCGCCTGCTCCGCCCTGAAATACCGGAACTCACCCACGCCCGGATGTGACGCCACTGCCGCCGCGCCCTCCCACCGCCGAGCAGGCGGGAAGGTAGGCCACTGGAGGGAGCCCTGCGGCGAGGAGCGAGGGGCGGTGCCTCCCAGTCGCCCTAGGCGACGCTCGCAGTCTTTTTCCTGGGCAAGTAAAGGGGGGCGGGGTTGGGAAGAAGGAAGGCTACTATGGTAACCCCGAAGGCGCAAGGTCTAGCCTCACTGGCCAGGCAGGCTGCCCACAATGGCCGGCCTACTGCTGTACTGCTCGTACCCTCCCCCAGTGCTGTCCCGGCACCACCTACCCGCTAGGGCACCCTGTAGCTCTGTAATCTAAATATCCTGCAAGCCCCTGCTTCCACCCTTGCTCCAAAACCAGGTGCTAAAAAAAAGCTTAGACTTTTTGGACGTCATCTTCAAAGGAACCCCAACTTGCAACCTCCTTTTAAACCCAGTTCAGGTAGGTTCTCTTCCCATCTCCTGAAAGCCAGTGAAGGAAAATATGGGTGTGGAAGAGATGGGCAGGTCGGCAAAGTTCTCATTCTGTTTGGCATCGTTTAAGAACTTAAGTGTTCTATTTAGAGTACCAGTCTTTCCCGTTACTTTATAGAGTCAGTATGCACCAGCGATTTACCAACCTGCCAGCCCCTTCATACCCTAAATGATTTGGGACTTGGTAATCAATCATTGCTTATAATTTCTTTTGTAGGCGAGGAAGAGCTTATGTCCCTATTTTATCAGGGAGGAATCCTCTATGATGGATCACTGTTACCAGATCTTTTGTGCAACAGCAAAATATGAGTGCCTGGAAAACTGTACTGGGAACTGAACCTCCATTCTGTGTTATAACCTTCACCAGTTTCACTTCATCTTCTGCTCCCAGGTACTCCAAGGAGCTATTTATGAGTTAGAAACTGCCCCTACAGGCACTGCCAAGCACGATTTTTCAAAGGACAGTGGTAAAGAGACTTGAAAATGTCTTCTTCCTCCCACCTTCGCAATAACTCATAGTAATAAATCTCTCCTCTGGTACAGCGCTCTTTTGCCCTAGAAAATTAGGATGTGGAACATGACTCGGAATTAAGAATCTTAGCTCCTTTAAGGATTAGTTGGTAAAACAGTTGCTGCCCTCAGTGCCTAGTTCTGAGGTTATTCCCTCTGGAGGTTCTGTCTTCCTGTCTCCTTTTAGAAATACTGAGCAATGAGACTATTCAGAGGAAACTACTCAGACAGACAATATCTAGTTTCTTGGTAGAGTAACCTGTACATTTTGATTTCCAACTCAGGGATTGAGAAGGAAAGAAGGGTTCTGAGACTCAGTAAACTCTACCCTGATGGCCTGAGAGTTTTTCTAACTTTCTTCCGAGAAGTCTGTCACGTGGGTGCTGGTCAGCAGGGGGTACTATTGTACCTCCTTTTGCCCTAGTGAAAAAGCAGACCTCATCTTACACAAACCAAAGCGGGTGATGAGAACACCATGCATTCCTGAGCCTGTTAGATTTGAACAGACAGACAATCTTCTCTTGATCCAGAGAAACAGGTGGGTTGACTCTGATAGCCTTTAAAAGCATGATGGATGGGCAGAATGGGATCCAGTCCTATTGTTTTCCTGGTGACCAACAACAAAACAGTATATCAACAGGTCTGTCCCTGTCTCCTCTCCCTTTCCCTCCCATCTCCTGTACTTAAAATAGGGTGTAATGACTCTATGTCCTAAGCATTGCATTCCTCTTTGGCCTTGTTTTACCCTAATTGGTTTCTGATTTCATTTTGTATTGAAAGAAACTTAGACATGATTATACAACAAAGCAATGTAAATGTTCTAACTGCCACTGAACTGTATATTTTTAAATGGTTAAAATTGCCAATTTTATGTTATATATATTTTTCCACAATTAAAAAAAAAAAGGATCTTAAACGAACTCAGGAAAGGAAAAAAGTTTCAACTAATCTTGCCATACCCTTGACCTTTCTTTGTTCAAGCAGTCCTAGCAAATCCTATGCTTTCCAGCAAGGTTTCTCAGATAACCAGAACTCCCTGTATAAACATGCAGTTATTGAGTCTCTGCTCCCTTCCCCTTATCTACATCAAAGTAATATGCTCTGTTTACTTGTTCATTAATCTCAAGGCCAGAAACTAATCTGTGAACTTCCTTTGTATTGGATAGAGCACCCTCCCCCCAAAGATGCATGTATTATGTTGCTGATGACTGACCCTTGCTATCTACTTTAAACCTTGTTGCCTTCTCCTTGTTCAGGGCTTTTGCCAATTCCTATAAACACCTCACTTTCCTTCTTTGACCCTTTGAGGCAGGAGTCAGCAAATTTTTTTTGTAAAGGGTCAGGTAGTAAATATTTCTGGCCTTCAGGGCCATAGGACGTGTTGAGTACTCTGATAGGAAGAGAGCAAATAGACAATATGTAAGTGAATGGGCAATGCAATGTTCCAGTAAAACTTTGTGTAAAACCAGGCTGGGGCAGGATTAAATACCTCACAGGTGATAGTTTGCTGACCCCAGCTTTGAGAAAAGAAATTTTTCTTCCTGTATCTTAACCACACCTAAGAGATTTTTGCCTCCTGCCCTTGGCCTTCCTTTCATATTTCTTCTATGTATTTCATATTTCTGAGGGTACCTATTGACTTAATGAGAAAGCAAGAAAGGTAAGAAGTTGAATGAGGTTTTTTTTAACTCGCAGTTTACTTATTTAAATGGTTTTTGGTAGACTTCTATGTAAATGTGAGTTTTTTCAAATGTATATATTCATTTGAGATATATATATATTTGCTATACATATGAGTATATCAAATGAATACACTGAGTATGCACAGATGGGGGAAGACGTGTATGCACGTACACGTAACAGAGAACAGAATTCATCCCCAGGAAATTTCTGTATCTTTCCAATGATATTTACATATTGTCTAGAGCCTCTAGGTCACTCTCTCTCCCCCAAGATTCCAAGGTTAGACTTATTTTTTCTCTTTATTGCTCCTGGAAACGCCTCTTCAAGCCCACATACTATTTCAGCCTAAGGATTTTCCCAGAGACTTGTTACCCAACATCTCACAAAACTGTTACTAACTTGCATTGTCCCAGTTTGCAAAAACTATCCCCATGCCTGTTTATTTGAACCAGAGAGATCTATCCATTTATACCTAGAACCTAGGTTAGGCAACTACAGCAGGCCATGAAGCAGTTGCCCAAAGCCCTAGGGGTAACCATGGGGTTGTTTTTGTTTTTTGGGTTTTTTTTGCAATTTTACGAGATGGGTGAATTAATAGTTTGTAGTGGCATAAACTTATGGAAATTATGAATATATCTAATGTATATGATCTGCTTTGTGTCTCTCACTTCTGGTGTGGTATGTTTAACAACAATCACCACTTCCCCAGGCCACTGAAAGTGGTAGAAAGCCACAGAGGAGATCAAAAGCCTAACAGCAAAAAGGCCAAATTTGAGGATTTGAAAACATTTTTGTGAATGGCCCACTCTTGTCTTCCTAGCTATTTTCCAAAACCAAATGTAATTTTTAAAAACACATAAACCTATTTTCCTAAATTTATTGATTTCTTTAGAGAGAGAGGAAGGGAGAGAGAGAGGGAAACATCAAATTTGTTGTTCCACTTACTTATGCATCCTTTAGTTGATTCGTGTATGTGCCTTGACTGGGAATCAAACCTACAACCTTGGTATATCGGAATGATACTCTAACCAACTGAGCTACCCAGTCAGGGCCCTTTTTTCCCTATTAATTCAGTACTGAGAATTGACTATTTCCATCAATACCAGGATATTTTTTTTGTTGTTGTTACTGTTAAGATTCCTATGGTACTTCTCTACGTAGTCTCTCATTTATCTTTGTGGTAAATTTCAAGGTTGAAGGTGAAGGAAAGTAGGTGATTATGGAGAAAATAAAGTGGAAAAGATAATTTAATTTATTTTCAACTGGGAAAATTCATCCCTAGAGAAGCTGAATAATTAGTCAAGGTCACAGAGTAAGGTCTGGTAGTGATACCTTTACTTTCTAAGATTACCCAACATCTAAGATCCCTTCTTATTTCTATTATAGGCTGTCATTCTAAGGTCCTCTCTGCTGCCCCATGAACAATTCTTCCTATGGCATCTCCATAGTATAAAGGCAGAGGTCCACATTGGCCAAGATAAATAAACCCAGATAGGGCCAGGGTCAATGTGACCTCCTTTGTCCCATTATGAAATCTGAGCTGGCTTTGCTTGGCAGTAAAGAGATGAGAGTTTCCCTATTAATACACATATCTATGTGCCAAACCTTGGAAACAAAAGCTAAGAATGTGGCATGGGGGAGGAGGTGGGATAAGGGATAGCAGTCTGGACTTAGAGTCCCTTCCCTTTGTCCAGATCCTGGGAAAGATAATTAAATTCCTGGGCTGGGGTGAGACAAAAAATAAGACACTTCTATGTGTCTTTAAGAAAGAAAGTATATGTCATTACAAGGGTATGCCAGCGTGTCTATGTTCTGTGAATTCACAAGTAGTATATGTCCAAGTGTGTCTGGAATTTAGTCATATTAACATGAAGCTCTTACATGTGTAGATGAAACCCACCCCCACCTAATACTCACATCAGCTGCCTTCTTCTCTGCCAGCTCCAGCTTCTCCTGGGCATCCTTCAAAGCTTCAGAATACTTATCCAGCTCATCTTCAGTCCCTTTCAGCTTCTTCTGCATAGCTGCCAGCTCATCTTCCAGCTATAGGAGCCCCAAGAGTCACATACAAGACATACATACACAACAGTGCAGGCTCAGACCCTGGGATCTTCCTGGCAGACCCCTGAGTTTGAGCCTATATTTTATCTTCCCCAGAAAGACATACTTTCTCTCTGGTCACTTCCCGCCAAATGCCCCAGGAATTATGCTGGCCTTGGCCTATGACCCTATGATCTCTAATCCTAAGGTGATCACACTATACTGGGTTTCTAAGACTCTGGGATAATAAATACATTAAGGTGTAGATGCCTATAACTCCATCTAAGGGCAAAGAGGTGCTGCATTCCAAGCTCACATCTTTTCCTCTAGAAGAAGGTTCTTCCAAAATGTGATCTACTCCCACTTAAATCAAAGAGACACACTGGATCTCAGAAGGGGCCACTGACTTTCCCAAGGTCACACAGGTAGTCTGAGTCAAATACCCTCGCCTATCTGGTAAGGCTGGGGAAGCAGACGAGTTTCTCCCACCCAAAGAAGGAGTTTGTACACATGGTCACTGCCTTTTCCATGAAAATTCTTTTCCATTGCACAGTCTTGCTCACCAGTAAGTGAGAGACACCAGGGCCAGTGCCTACCTGTTTACTTCTTTCTTCCGCCTGCTTCTGCTCAGCTTCAGCTTGCTCTGCCCGATCCAAAGCATTCTCCTTGTCCAGCTTCAGCATCTGCATCTTTTTCTTGATGGCCTCCATTACGAGCAGTGGCTGTTGGTGAGCTCACCTGTGAACACTGGGAACTGGAGACTAGGGCAAGAAAGGAGGTGCTGCTGGCTGAGTGACTAGGAGTCCCCCAGACTTGAGCCTTTATCTCTGCTCATGGCTCCACCTCTTGTTCCTAATATGGTCCTTCAGGCTCCTTCCAGTCCATCATTGTTCTCCTGGGAGAACACAGGGTGAGACACTTTGATGGACTGACATCACCAGCAAAGAAAAAAATTGAGAACAGCTGAGGCTGATTTTAGACAATGGAAAGTGGGGGAGGGGCAGGCTCATCTTGACCCTGAAACTTTCCACTCACTCTGGTAGCTCTCAGGGTGTTTTAAAAGAGCAGGGAGAGAAGGGGGGAGAACACTGAAATAGAGGAGGGTACTTTGGCTATTCCAGGATGGTCGTTTCCACTCAGAGCCTCCTAGTTGCTCTTCAATTTCCTCTTACTCTCGCCTGGACTGTGCTGGATGCTGATCAAACTCCACTGGTTGAGTTTTACCTTTTGATTCCTGGTATTCAGGAAGCTTGAGCAACAGTGAAAGAGGAGATCGTTCATGATCCTTGACAATTCCCCCAGATCTCCAGATCAAATTACTGTTTTATTTCGAGAGTCTTTAATTGGCAGGGAGACATGCTCCTTCCCCTTAAGAGCCACAGGGGAGGAGTAAGGGGGTAAGGGTGGTGATCTGGAAGGCCATCCCAGAGCGTCAAGTGGGATGGGGGAGAGAATCAGGGTAGGGTAAGAGTAATCCAGATAGGATCATGTCCTCTGTTTCCCCGTGGCGATCTTTAAATAGAACTTTGATACTCACACAGACCAAGGTCTGTATCACTCCCTGCTCCTCTCACCCTCTGCTCCCTTCATGTCCTTCACTCCTACCCCTGACACACTCATCATCCTAATCATCATTACCAGCTCTAGTCTCTCCAGCTTAGTTCTAGGCCATGCTCATTCTTCCACTTGGAGCCTTGCTATTGACAGGTGGCAATTGATTCCAGTATACTGGCATCATGCGATCTGAGAATATGCCAGGGGAAAGGGAGACACTCTTCAAGGTGACCAGAGCTATCAGGGAAGAATAGAAATGGCTCTAATTAATCATTATGTCATGGATAGATAGGTAGTGTTAATACTATGCCTCAGCAATGGGGGAACTGAGACAGAGGGCAAAACTGGAGTCCAGTCTTGAGAGCTTTTAGTCAGTAGAGGTAGTTGTCAGATAGATCACCATCAGCAGACTCTTGAAGGAAAACAGAAACAAAGTCCTACTGTGGGACTAGGGAACAAGACAAGTCCTGGGGTCAGAAAGCGGTGGATAACAAAGTGGGGGGTAGACATTGGATAAAGAGGAGAAAAACACAAGGACAGGAAAAGATCAGAGATATATCACTTTTGGTACAAGGGAAAGATATAGGAAGGTTTTTTTTCCTTAAAGATTTTATTTATTTACTTTTAGAGAGAGAGAAGGGAGGAAGAAAAAGAGGGAGAGAAACATAAATGTGTGGCTGCCTCTCTAATGCCCCCGGCTGGGTACCTGGCCCGCAACCCAGGCCTGTGCCCTGACTGGGAATCCAACTGGTGGCCCTTTGGTTCACTGGCCAGCAATCAATTCACTGAGCCACACCAGCCAGGGCAAGATATAGGAAGATTTGATACTCAAATAAATGCCAGCTCTCTCCTGCTATCACACCAGCCCTCCAGCTTAAGACTGAAATCTATTTAGGTTGTTCCTAAAAGGGTCCTGGAGAGGAGAGGGTCAGTAGAAAAGACAGAAGCCCCAGAGCCCCAGAGGTAGGAAAGAGTGTGATGCCAAATTGCCCACTGCTGTAAGAATATGTTTGACATTTAGTTGGTTCCTATTAAACAACCCAATATCAAACATATCACACAGAAACAGGCAGGAGAGCTTTGGTGGTCGTCTCCTTCTTCCCCACTGCAAAGGAGGCACAGAGAAGAGACACCAGCATGGCTAGATGAGGGCCATCTCCTTGGGGAAGGGCACGCACTTCTACTCTTTGCCTCTCAAGACAGCCAGTTCTTACTCATCTGCCTTTCGTGCCATCCCTGTCTCAGCTCCTCTCTTACCAGTGCTTGGCCTTTGCTAGATCACGTTGGCCTGAATCAGGAAGGATATCTGGCCGGGCTCCTCATCCGGGCACCTATCCTTCCCAAAAGCTCCTACCCAGAGCTTCTCCCCCTTATGTCACGCCCCCAACACCCAGAGGATCAGGAGTGTCAGCAGCTCCTTGTCAGCCTTGCCACCTGCTCTCTTCAGCTCCCTTCCAGCTGCCCCAGGACTTTTTGGGGGTGGGACATGGGGGGCTTGCACATCCTGCTTTACCCTTCCAGGAGAACTCCTAAGCTTTCCAAATCACTTCCACAAGTCAGCTGATGGCCTTCTAGTGGACATCATCCTGGAACCTTTTAAGTACTACAAAGGAGTAGCTGTGAGAGTGAGAAACTTCTAGAATGCTTGGCTGCTTTTTCCCATCATTTTGTCCCTTCTCACCTTCTCCCCATGTCCTCCAGGCATCCTCCTTAAAGTCACCCTTGGATGTCCAGAAGAGAAGAGTGGCCTGTCTTACTGGCAGGCTCCAGTCTGGGCTCCAAAGAAGATTTACGGTCTCCTCTCCCTGGCTAGCTGAAACTAAGACTTCAGGAGATCAAAGGTAAGGGAGGAAACCCCCTCTGTCAGGAAGCAACCTGAAGTTCTTAGTTAGGACTCTCCTTCTCTTCTGAGGCTTTTTACAATGCCTGGGTTGGGTTCTCTAAGGGTCTTCCAGCCTGCTTACTTTCTGGAAGATTTTTCTTCTGAAGAGAATCAGGTCTGTTGAATATCGTACGTCATGCAGATGCTTCTTTCTCCTGTGGCAGAAAGGAGTCCAGGTTATAGCTGCACTGGGGGCAGGGGTAGTGGGGGTTTGGGTGGAGTCTGGGGGTGGGAGGAGGATGCTTTGCTTTAGCCCCCAGGCCTGTTCCATGTGTCCTTGTTCCCATTAGTCTGAACACCCTCTTCCCCCACTAGATACACACCCATAGACCAATTCAACAGTGCCCTTGATGTAGATCAATAGCTTGTCCTAAACCCCAGTCAATCCCTGTTGTATGGCTTTTGTCTTCTAGGGGAAGACTAACAAATGGATGTATAAGCCCCAAGGTAGGCACCCGTGGTGTTGTCTAATGTCCTTGTTCCCTTCTGGCTCTCAGTGGGAGGTTGTGTGTAATTGTTACTTTCCTGACCTTCCTTTTTTACCCTTACTCCTTAAGTTGTAGTTCTCTTTGAGAACCTTTAACTACTCTGGAGAACCAGAGGCTGAAGGGAGAGAGGCTGGGAGAAGGACTAGCAGGAATTGAAAGGACTTTAGTTTTGGGGGCACTAGAGGAATAGAGGCAAAGGCAGGAATATTGATGTAGGAGAGGAACAGCTCTCTTAAAAGGAGACTCTGGATGACGTAACTAGGCAGAAACATCAGATGGCCTCTGATAAACGCTTTCTAGCTCTCCTGGGAGTTACCTGCTATGCAGCTATTTCAAATAAGACCAAGCCATCTGGTCTTGAAGCGGAGAAGCTGGGTAAGGCACCAGTCACAGAAGGAAAAGGGACTGGATGGGTATGATGGGGTGAACTATTCAGCTGATGTGATGAGAGCAGACAGGCTAGGCAGAGAGGACCAGAGGCCATGGGCTCTGTAGGGGGCCAGCCTGCCAATACTGGAGCCAGCCTGGCACTGACAAGCCCTGGGGAGAGAGGCCAAGGTCAGGGATCAAGGCAGAGGGGGTGAGGTATTCTGTGGGTCGAAATGAACAGGGGAAAAAGAAATAAAAGGTGGTTGGTGAGGAAGTGTGGTGAGAGGTGAGGTGGCAAACATTAATGCAGAAGAAATAAAAAGGAAAACTTATTGTAGGGTAGGATGAGAATTAAAAAGTAAATTTCCTCTGACGGAGACAGGTTAACAGGAAAAAGTGTCCGAAGTTTATTATACAGATGCACATGGAGGGGGGGGGGGTATGCCATAAGAATGAGACCAGAAGCACATTGGGCAGTCAGTCGAGGCTTATATGCCATTATGGACAAAGGAGAAAAGGGAACAGGGGTCTGGGATTTCATATGGGAAGAACAAGCAATTTACAGGTATGTAAGAAGAGTGGAACACACTGGGGTATTGATTTTACACAGGGGACTCTAGTTAAGAGGCCTCTGTTTGGATCCTTCCTATCTCATGCTAAGTTGCATATGCTAAAGTTTCCTTCTGAGAGCAGCTTTTCCATCTGAATCTCTTAGGCAGGAAAGGGGGAGGGTCAACAGTTCTTCCTAATTCTTTTGTTTCATAATGATCAGCTTAAAATCAATATCCCAAAAAGCACATTTTGGGTGGCAAAACTTTGGTCCCCTTCAACAGGAAAATGCCATTTGGGTTACCATTTATTGGACAGTATGTACCACCCCTTTGCTAAATGCTTTATTTAATCTCCACAAGCAACCTGAAAACGTAGGCATTACTTCTGTGACCCAGAAAGTTAAAGCAACTTGCATAGGGCCTCACAGGCAATAAGTGACAGAGCCAAGATTCAAACCCTGATCTGCTGTGTTAAAGCCTGTCCTCCTAATGCCAGGCTATACTGCACAAGTTTAGGAGGAAGAGGGCAGCTGGGAGACAGATACGAGGGATGAAAGAAGTGAAGGAAAGACCGACCTGCTGGGAACCAAGGGCAAGGGGGGCAGGCAGAAGAAATTGGAGACTGTCTCAGGTTTGTGCGTTGATTCAAGGCCCCGTGAATGTGGTTCCATCCCCTATAAAACGCCTCATACCTGTCATTACTTGTTCAATGCCTGCCTCCCACCAGCCTGTGAGCCCCATGTTCTGTTTGGTGTAAGACCTCCTGCGTAATTATTGACTATAGATAAGAGGGCTTGGGAAGCAGGGCTGATGGGGGCTAGAGGGTGAATAGATACATAGGACAGAGAAGGGGAAAGGCATAGAAGGGAGAATGACATTTGAGCGCCTAAGGGGGCCAACATGGGAACTGTGAAGTACTTGTGTCACAAGGAATCTCCTGAGAGGGAAAAGGGAGCATACCAGTTGTGTGCCAAACACTGGGCTTGCCCTCTACATACATTATCTTATATAATCCTCTTCATGATCCTGTGAGATGGGTGTTGTCCCCATTTTCAGAAGAGGAAATTGAGGCTCAGAGGATTAACTTATACATGGTGACAATTAGAATCCAGACTGAATCCACACCCAACTTCCAAGCCTGTGCTCATTTCTCTGTACCCTGATGCTTCTCTGTGCTCATCAGTAGGATATGTAGGGAGAGAGAGGACAAGCTCTAACAACTGAGATGAAAAATATATTGAGAGGTGGAGACAGACTTGTGGGAAAGGGGAAAGAGAAAGTGTGAGCTTTGCAGTGAAGACATAGCCACAAGAAGTTGAGGGCAGGAAAAGATCAACATGAAAGTATGAATGACCAGTTTGGATGTGGATGGTAAGGTGAGAGAACAGGGTAAAGTGTATGAGAGCGATTACATCAGAGAGTGATGATGTGTTCAGGCAGCTGTTACTGACTGCAAAATGAGGGTCTTTCCATAGATGTAAGGAACAAGCTAATTGTTCCTGAAGGGGAGGAGGTGGGAAATGGGAGTGGAAGTTTTTTTTAATGAGGATGTCTCTGTTTGGGATGTCATTTCAGTGTAAAGTGGATCTTTACATACATTTGTATGTAAAGTAAGATACTTTGTGGCCTATAGATACATATAGCAGTGCTTTCCAGTATTTCTCAAATTTTGAATATCTTTAGATTTAATGCTCTTTCCAGTCTCTATAAACTCTACAACTACTTATCTCCTTGTGCCTGATCCCTGAAGGCATTTGAGACTGGAACCCTGTCAATTTGCAGAGGTGTGAATTCAGGCCAGAGGAAAGAGACTTATCCCAAGATCTTGCAATAACTGGCTGACTCAAAACCTAAAACCCAGGCCTCCTGACACTGAGGCACCACAGTGCCTGTAGGTTGATAGCCACATTCAGAGGTATTTGTCCAAGTATACTGAAAAAAATCAGTGAGGTGAGATCTGAGAGGTGGTGAGCAAATCCAGGAAGTTATATTAAGACTATGGCAGTAGTGAATGAGCACTTTTGAAGTAAATCAAGATTTAGGGCTGCAAGAATGAGCCAAGTGGCTTAAGAATGAACCTTAGGGGGGCGTCTAAACTTTTGGTGTCTCTGGGCCACACTGGAAGAAGAGTTGTCTTGGGCCATGCATTAAATACATTGCAACACATAATCACAAAAGAAAATCTCATAATGTTTTAAGTAAATTCATGATTTTGTATTGGGCCACATTCATAGCCATTGTGAGTCCTGGGTTGGACACCCCTGGAAGAGTTTTAAGAGGTAGCTGCATTTGTTAAACTAAATCAGGATTCTCCTTCATTGTCCATCTCTCCACCTCCCCTCCCTACACTTATATCAACACTGCATATCTCATTTTGACCACAAGGTGCCACTCTGGTTCTTACCACTTTTTTTTTTTCCCCCCTTATTTTTTAGACAGACGGGAAGGGAGAGGGAGAAAAACAAACGTGTGGTTGCCTCTCGCACAAGTGTACGGGAGACCTAGCCTGCAACCCAGGCATGTGTCCTGACTGGGAATTGAACCTGCGACCCTTTCCGGCGCTCAATCCATTGAGCCACACCAGCCAGGGCTTTACCACTCTTTTATATTGTTTTCCAAATAGCACCAGGGCTTGAGAGGTGTGAATGATAGCACCATCTTAAGTTCTAGGCCGGATAACTAGCTCCTGGTGTGTTTCTGAAAGGAAGTTTAAGGTGCTGGGGGCTCAAGAAGGCCAGGTTACTGGGCATGATGAAAATGGAAGGACAGTGTTTTGGATGGCATCAGAGTCTCTCCACATAAAAAGCTTTGCCCATCTGATTTAGTTCCTGCTGGTACTGCTGATGCTCCTTTTCAAACAGCTGGTGCAGGGCAGCCTGACGGACCTGGTGGGGAGGGCAGAAGAGTGTGATTTTTGCCATTTATTTACCTCCCCTTTCTCATTCTCCGCCCCCCAACCCTTTTTCATTCTCTTTCTCAGGTTGCTTTCCCATCACTCTATCATGTTCTCTTGGATCTGGCCTTAGCTGTGACAAAAGCCAGCTTAGAGGCAAAACCATTGGAGGAGAAGCCTACCCAATTTTTTCTCCAGGGGTGAAGCCCCACGTTCAGCAAATATTTGCTAAGAGCAAACCAAGAACTCTGCCAGGCACCTTGGATGCAAAGCTGGTGACATGACAGCACCTGAAGACCCCAGGGGGAGAGGTTGTGAGAGGCAGGTGCTGGGCACTAAAGCAGTTCTGAGTCTCACCAAGATGAAGGCTAGACTGAACTTTGAAACTTCGTAATGTTCCATCCTCAGCTGAATGCAAAGAATCTCTTAACAAGAGTATAGGCATTTGAAGAGTTAATGCTCTGGTGTAATAGTGAAAACCTTAGAGGAATGTAAGATGGTAAATGGTGGCAGAGACTAAAAGTTTGGGAATCCCAGTGGGCATGGGCACAGAGAAAGTGGATGAAACTTAAGGTCACCCTTGCTGGAACTCACCGTCAGTAGTTGCTTGTTTGCCAGTGCCAACTCCTGTACCATGATATCCCTCATTCTTAGGGTGGCATAAGGGTTTCTCCTCTGGCTCAGTGTCATCTGCCACAGACAGTGAGTGTGTGAATTTCGCCACCTGCCCCAGGTATAGTGGTGGGGTTAAATGGATTAGTTAGGAGTGGAGACAAAAACCCAGTGAGGCTGCTGCTTCACCAAAACCTCTGTAAGGGTCAAAAGAGTACAAACTCCTTGAAAGGGTAACGAACTTAGAACCTAGTATAAAGTACATTATGTCATTTAATCATCATAACCACCATGTGTCATAGATACTAATTTTTGTTTTATACAGTCAAGGAAACTAAAAGTTCATGTGAATTGCTCAAGGTCACTTCACGGCATACCTGGGTATCAAATCCACCCTAAGCATGAATTCCTTCCATCATACTGGTGATTTTCAACCTTGGCTAGACACATTTTGGAATGATTTGTTAAGGTTTTTAATACATAAGAGGAATATACATATGTATCATATAGTATGTATCCTTTGTTCACATAACCCCATTGAGTTTAAAAAAAAAAGTATTTACAGATAAAAAAAAATTAAACCCATACAGAAATATAGTAAATAAAAAGCGAAAGCCTCATTCTTCTGCCTTAATCCTCGCCAAGAAAGTTTTCATGTGTATCTCTAGAAAATTTTTGTCATATATCAGCACCTGTATCTTTTTTTTTACATAAAAATCATTATATAAGCAGTATTACCTAACAATTTGGACTTTTCATATCAGCACATAGAGATTTGCTTCATTCTGTTTAAAGGCTGCCTAATATTTTTGTATAACTAGCTGGGTGATTTTTAGCTTTTTGTACATACATTCTAGTGCTTCTAAAGGTGTGTGTGTGTGTGTGTGTGTGTGTGTGTAAAGGATATGTGAAACGTAATCAAACTGCCTTTGTAAAAAAGTTTGCGTCTCCATCTCGAATCCCACTAAAATTATGTGCATTGTTACCTCAAATCTTTGCTATCTCTGAGTATACCTGTGAAACCTTAAGTCTTATCCTATCCAATCCCAGCTTTAGGCAGAATCTTCTGGGTTAAGACCTAAGTATGTGTTTTATAAAAAAGCTCCCCCAGGTAAATGATATAGAGCCTAGTCCTTTTTCTCATTCATTCAAAAAATAATGCATCCCTACCACATGACTTAGTACAGTGCCAAGCAACAACTACTTGCTCATTTTCCTTCAGAGAATAAGCAAGGGGCAATAAAAACCATTGTCTATATAGCCTAACCTAGCGGGCACTAAGCTGATCTCCGCTAGTGAGCTGCTTCTGGCAACCCCCCATACCTGCTTCCTTCTTGATGAGCCCCTAGCAAGATGAAGCAGAGATGAGGTGGCTCGAGGACAGGAGGGTAAAAGGTCAAGCTGAAGGGTAGAGGAGGAAATAGAAACAGCGATTACCTGTCAACCATCTTCTGAAGTCCCAGGGCCCTTTGAAAACTCTGCAAGAAAAGGCAGTTATACTGATGTCTCCACTACCTTACCCCTAGTACCATATTTTAGTGGGAGACACATTGATCTCTCTTTGGAGGGGGGCCAGTTTCCTAGGGTAAGTGGGAAGAAAGCTCTGCTCTTTTCACATTGAATCAGAGATAACAGGTAGGGCTTGGTATGGCATATTTGCGTACGTACTATGTGCTAGACATAGTCTGCCATTCCTGTTACATCAAGGGCCTTTCTCATAAGGTCCACTCCTGGTAAAGTCTGGGAACCTCAAGGGAAATCCCCTCCAACCCAGCCCCTCCTTGCAACTCTGCATACCTCTTCTACCTTTGTTATCTTTTCCACAGACATGCCTACAGACTTGCTTGTATGGTCTTGGGAGACTGAGCAGGCTGTGTTTGGTTGTCACCAAGGTTTCAGTAGTCATAGCAACATTTCTGCTTCCAACAATGACCCTATACCTAGGAATTGATTGGTCACCTGGCCTGTTGCCCTGGAGACCTGAAGGAAATCCTGGTTCTCCAGGCTTGTATTAGTGACACAGGCAATCTTATGAACAAAGACCACAGTCCCAGTGTTAGGATTTCTTCTGTTGGGATCCCAAGGAGTATCTGTATAGTACCCAGTTCCACTGATTCTCTGAAGACAAATCCTCAATGCTGAACCCTATTAGGCAGGTGCAGAGAACATATCATATGCCTGTTTCACTAAAAAGCAACTGTAAATGAATTGATCATATGCTTTATTGTTTAATTGCTCATTTTATTAACTTGTAAAGTCAGACCAGTGCATTAGTCTGACCATTCTTGTCCTGTCGCCCCGATTTCTCTCACCCTTGGGATTATTTATAGTCTGGACAAGAGCAGATAAATTATGACCAAAACCAAGTGAGGATTTTTTAAGGAAGCTTGATGGAAACATTAAGAAAAATATCTTAATTCAACTCCAGAAAAAAAGGGCCACCAAGGGAAAATAGTCTTAATTGACATTTTGAAACTGGCCATATGAAAGGTTCGGAGAATGATCCTCTAGGCAAGAGCTCTAAGAGCTCTGGACACAACGTGAGCTTCAGCTGATCCAGTCTGGACCTACTGAGCCAGATGACCTGAAGGGTGCCCGGCAAGCACAATGCAGTCTCTCTGGCTCCATCAACAGCAAGAGTCTTTCTGCACCATCACAGAGTGCTCTCCAGTGTGTTATAATTGTCCTTAAAGCTCTTCAATTCAAGGAAGTGCTTGGCACGTTTACTCTTCTGACTGGAGGGGAGGTATGTCACCTGGATGGTTGTTGGGGAAACTTCAGGAGACTGGGTTAGGTCTTTGGCTGCTGACTGATGTTGTCGTTGAGAGCTCCCACTTTGTGCTTTGATCCTGAAGAATAGAGAGGGCAGGTCATGACGGACAGGATAAGGACTAATGGAAGAATACAATTCAAGGCTCATCCATCCCATAAATACAGCTATAGCCACAAATGGCCTCTTGACCTATCTTATAAACTAGTTACTAAAATCCCATTTGGTAGCTTAGAAACCAAAGAAGCCAATTTTCCCACTGGGTTCCTGCTTCTGGCCCAACCTTCTCATCTCACTATACTTTAAGAAAACTTCTAATTCTGCTGTGTCACCTAACGTGTGCATGCTGCTAATACACTCCCAGTCCAGAGAGAAGTCCTTGAAATTGGAATATTAAGCAATAAGAATAAAAGTAACTATTGAGTACTACTTATGTTAGGACATTAAACTTGGTGCTTTAACAACATCTAATTTACTTACATCCCAATATCCCTACATGGTGGTATCACCACCATGTTGCAGGTTAGGAAACTGAGGGTCCATTAAGTAACTTGCCTGAGGTCACACAGCTAGTATGTGACAAAGCTGTGAGTCAAGTCTTAAGTTTCTCAGATTTCAGAGCCTATACTATTTTTACTATATCCATTGAACCTTTCTAGAAGCTAGAAATTGGAGACTAAAAGAAAAATGTAGTAAAATAAATGTAAAACTTACCATCTTACTATTCTGAAATATTTACAGTTCAGTAGTATTAAATACATTCATACTGTTGTGCAACCTATCTCCAGTATTCTTTTCAACTCGAAAAACACTCTACCTATTAAATAACTCCCTATTCCACCTGCCCTCCAGCTCCGGACAACTACCATTCCCCTTTCTATCTCTATGAATTTGACTACTCTAGGTGTCTCAAGTTAAGTGGAATCATACAGTATTTGTCTTTCAAAAAACCAATTTTGAACAGGCCTCTGCTTGACTTCTAGACCAAATGCCCTTTTCCATCTCCTCCACATGTTCATTTTCACTACCCCTGTAAGTAGTTTTTGCTAGGACTGTTTATCTTTAGGAACAACGTAGATTACTTTTAGGGACAGAGAGAAAATAGGACAGACATACACACTACTGTTTGAGAAAGAGCCATATTCAATACAGTGGAAAACATGTATTCTTCCTTTTCATGGCTGTTAACTTTTTATTCTAAATTGGATTTTCCTCTTTACCTTTTAACATTTGCATAAACAACATAATAAAACTATGTTAGTACATATCTAAAACATTCCCAGACAAAAGCCATGATTCCTCTCTGTAGTAATGTCCTTTGTTTCAGAAGACGGTTACTAATGCTTAGAAGTGGTAATAAAAATGGGTGGCATTTCATTCTTATTTTTATTCAGACCAAGATACACTGAAGGAGGACCCTTGGACCCTGGAAGAGAAAGAATCTTTGTGTGTTGAAAAACTTTTTTTATACCAGTTCTGAGAGTAATTTACTGAGCTGGGCAAAAAAAAAAAGAAAAAACCACCAAGAAAAAAAAAAGGTGCACAAAAGTAAAAGTTTCCCTTATTAGCTTATAGAGTAGCATCTGCTTTCCAATGTGAGCAAAAAGCAGTTATAATAGTCTAGGACCTAACAACTCTTACGTTACCATGGAAGGTGTTCATATTGCTTTATGAAGGCCATCTCACTGTGGGAACAGTCCAACAGTACTATATTCTCTAACCAGTCCCCTTTGACATGTTCCTCTTTAAACTCACACTGTGGCCAGCTCACTCAGAGCTTCCTGATAGCGCAGGTATTCTCTCTGGCCAAAGACCTGAGGGAAAAGAAAGGAAGAATGAGGATCTCTCAGTCTGGGGAGTCCCTTTAGTTCTCTAAAGGAAAAAAGTGGCCACCCAACTTACCCCTGTCCCATAGCGGGCTGTCTCATAGCCATCCAGCAGGGTATCAATGAGGGCCTTGCGCACACCCTTGAAAGGAGTACTAGTGTTTCGAAGATCTAGCAGGTAGGAGCGAAAATTCTTGCCCATTAAGGAACGGGGATGCCGGCCTTCAGCATGAAATGGGATCTCTGAGAGGATAAACAGCACAATGATACCCCTTCTCCCATTTGTTAGTATTTGTAGTTAACTTCCCAAACTTAGAAATGGGTCCAATGAATGAGTTGGAGGGAAATTCTAAAGAATTAAGAAGACTAGAGGTATAGAGCTGTGTCTGAGTTGTCATCTGGTGGTGGCAACACAACTTAAGCTATACCAGTGATACACTACAGTGTCATAGTCCTATTTGCCCTCCTACTTACCTACCCTAGCTTTAAGATATAAACTATGTTTTGGTAGAGGCAGAGTACATATGACAATGGTCATAGAATAAAAAATGTTCAAGAACCTCTATCTCTGATTAAGCAAAAAAGTGTATGTCACTTGTTTTGTGGAAAACAGTTAAATTACCACCATCTAGTTCATGAAACTAAAGGGCTAAAGGACAAATCAAATACAGATTATTTGGAGAAGAAATAGCTTGCCTACATAATTTTCTTATGCAAAACAGTTACCCAGTACTCTCAAAACTAGGAAATTCCTACTAGCCAGGGATGTGCAGGAAGGACAAATTCTTACATAAAGTCAGTTCCTCCCTCTCTTCCCCAAATGAATTTCCAAGGTCCTGAATGGCCAGTCAAGCAGACCTTACCAGAAACACGGATGGCATCCAGAGCTTTCATCCTATATAAATAGTTGTAGCGACCTGTTGAGAAAGAGAGTGGTCTCAGACATAACCCTCAAAAATGTCTCTGAATTCCAGCAAGCTAATGAACTGCCTCCCCACGTCATTAACAGCGGAACCACAGCTGCTGGTTTGGTAAGCAGCTATGCTACAACTCTGAGCGCAAAGAATTCTGAACTTGTGGGATTCTTCACTGATGTATTCTTCAAGAACATGCCACATACTCTGACTTCCCTCGGTTTCCAGCTGTAGCAGTCTTGTATCATCATCTGCAAGGAGCTGAGGTTCATACTTGATATCCTGAACCCTGGAGAGTCGAATATCAATCTCCTCTTTTAAGTCCTGTTCACATAGAGAAAAGAATACACAATCGCTTACCCTGTACTCCACTTTTCATCAGTCTGGAAACGAAACAGAGCAAAATGAACAACTAAGACAACAGAAGCAGAGAAAATGTTCATTTGGCTAATGAAATTAGAAGACTCAAGAATTTGAGGATGGGATTGGGTTTCTAAAAAAACGTCTCCAAACTATATGCCTCTAAGCTAGATCTTTTAGCTTGCTAGAATTCCTTCAAGCTCTACAGCATCATTATTTCTGACTTTCAACTGGATTTAGATAACTCCTATTTAGGCGTTATAAGGGACTTCCTGAGCTGGAAAAAAAATCAGCAACTAGAAGTCATAATTTATTCTAAAAATCTATAAGGAGTCCTGTATATGTCTTATAGTAACTTGGAACTACCATCTACCTGGTGGACCACAGGAATTCTACAGAATTTCTTCCAGAGCACATTTAATTTTTTAAGTACGTAACTCACATACAAGGTATAAAATTTAAAAAGGTACTTGCCCTGGCCAGGTAGCTCAGTTGGTTGGAGCACAGTTCCATACACCAAAAGGCTGCAAGTCTGATTACTGGTCAGGGCACATACCTAGGTTGTAGGCTTCATTCCTGGTCAGGGCACATCCAGGAGGCAACTGATCAATGTTTCTCTCTGACATCAATGTCTCTCTCTCTCCTTCTCCCCCCGCCCCCTCTCTAAAATCAGTAAATATATTCTCAGGTGAGGATTTGGGAAAAAAAAAAAAGGTACTGAAAATGTCACCCCCCGCTTACCCAGAAGCAACCAGTTAAGTTTCATGTTCATCTCTTTCTTAAGAGGGTTGCCAGAGCCCCAGTAAGTAGATTTTTTTTCTTGCGGTAATTTTTTTTATATATGTAAGTACATTTTAAATATCATCAAGATGAACACTTGCGTGCTTGCTTCAGGAACATGTGTACTAAAATTGTAACAGTAAAGAGATTAGCATGGCCCCTGTGCAAGGTTTACATGCAAATTCGTGAAGCATTCCATGTTTTAAAGAAAAGATGAACACCTGCATCCACTATCCAGATTATGAACTGGAACATTACCAATGAGTGTGAAGTCTTGTGTGCCTATCTCTGAACGCAACCCCCCAATCTTAATTTTTTTCAGTTTTATCACATCATCCTAAACAAGATGTTTAGCTTTGTCTGGTTTTTAACTTATACAAATGGAAAAATACTTTTTGAATTCCTCTGCAACCTTTTAAAATTTTAAATAGTATTTGTTGGATGTGAATTTACATGCAATAAAATGCATCCATCCTAATCAAGGTACAGACATTTCCATCACCCCTAAATGTTCTTCATACTCTTTTGTAGTTAACCTCCCCAGCCAGGCTGCATTGATATGCTTTCTTGACTGTTCTAGAATTTCAGATAAATGAAATAGAATCATATGGCATATATTCTTTTGTGAATGGCTTTTTCCCACTCAGGACGTTTTTGAGATTCATTCATGTTTGTGACTTATATTCATGACTTACATTCACAAATATTTTGGAGATTCACTTGTGTTCGTACATTTACCTTCAGGTTATTTTCATTCTTTACAAAATTTTTTTAAACTCTCACCTGAGTACATTTTTTAATTGCTTTAAAAGAGAAAGGGAGAGAAACATCATTGTGAGAGAAAAACACAGATCAACTGCCTGCCATATGCACCCGAACCCACAACCCTTATAGTTAGTGGGATGACGTTCCAAACAAGGCACACGGACCAAGGCCTTTTTTTTTAATCTTTTATTTTTTAATTGATTTTAGAGAGGGAGGCAGGGAGAAAGAAACATCGATTAAAAAAATTTTTTTTTTACATTTTATTTATTTTTAGAGAGGGCGAGAAACATCAGTGTGTGGTTGCCTCTCGCATGCCCTCCTAATAGGGAGCTGGCCTGCAACCTAGGCATGTGCCCTGACTGGGAATCAAACCAGCGACTCTTTGGTTTGCGGGCCTGAACTCAATCCACTGAGCCACACCAGTCACGGAGAAACACTGATTTGCTGTTCCACTTATTTACGAATTCACTTCTTACTTTTGTGTGTCCCCTGACTGGGGATGAAGCCTGAAACCTTGGTCTCATCAACTGAGATGTCTAGCCAGGGTTATTTTAATTCTTTATACTATTTCAAAATACAAATATATAATTAATAGCTATTCTCAAGTAGACATCTGGATTACTAACTTCTTTTAAAAACATTACAAAGAATGCTACCACGAGTATTCTTGTCCATGTCTTCTGGTACACATGAGCAAAAATAAATTTCTCTATGGTAGGAGTGGAATTGCTGGGATGTGGATTAGGTATATGTGTAATCTTACTAGATAATGCCCAATTATTTTCCACAGTGGTTTAATTTTTACTTCCACCAACAATGGATACAAATTCAGATAACAAGAATTTTTAAAAGCAAAAGGAGCCCTGCCCTGGCTGGTGCGGCTCAGTGGAGTGAATGCCGGCCCGTGAGCTAAAGGGTCACCAGTTCACTTCCCAGTCAGAGCACATGCCTGGGTTGCAGGCCAGGTCTCCAGCAGGGGGTACACGAGGCAATCACTCGTTGATGTTTCTCTCCGTAGTTTCCTCTCTAAAAAATAAAATAAATGAAATCTACAAAATAAAAGAAAAAAAAAGACAAAAGGAACCTTGATCTCATCTAGTCCAGGGGGTTCTTAAATACCACATTTTGCCGTGTATAATGTGCACCCTTGTTTTTGGCCCAAACTTTCAGGGAAAAAAATCTTTAATTTTAATTTTTAAATTCAATTATTTATTTTCTTGTATTTAGAAACAAAATCGAATATCATATCCCAGGGTATTATTTTGCATACAGATAACCGTTATTGCTTTCTAGAGTTACACTTTTAATAAACATAAATAAATTAAAAACCATGTAGATAGATACGGCAGTAGTACTACCCAGGTGTAATGTGCATCCTTTTTCCCCCCCTAAAAATTTGGGCAAAAGAGTGTACATTATACACAGCAAAATAAGGTATTCTGAGGTTTTGATTGGATATCCCTCTTATGGGAATCAACAGGCATTTGGAGAACTGAGGGAATGTGGAAGAATCACTATTTCAGGTTATGCCACCTTCCTTGAGGTTTTCCATGAAGTATGTTAGCAAAGAACACGGAGAAGGTTAATGGCACTAGTTAATTAAAGAACACTGGTTTAGGAGTTGAGGAGTTATATTAGTCCTAGCACTTCCACTAACCTGTTTTTCACTTAAATTATTGAGTATCTAGTATGTGTAGGACCTGGTTTTACAGTGGTGAGCAAAACTGGTATGGTGCTTACATTATCAAAGCTTACAGTTTAGTGAGAGAGGCATTAAATACATAGAAAATTAAACATAAAATAGAGTCTGTGGTAAAGTGTCATTTAGAAAAAAATTGGGACTATGAGAAAACAAAAAGGAGGACTTATTTTAAATAGGCGATAAGGATTTCTCTTTAGAGAAAATAAAAATTTAAGCTAAGATGCTCAGACCTGAAGAACGAATGAGCTAATCAAGTGAAGACCAACAATCATTCTAGGTCACAGTAACAAACAGCACATGTCAAAGTGGGAAATTCAACCAGTGTAGCTGGGCCCTAGTGATGAAGGGAGAGCCATACAAAAGGAGGCTGGTAAAGGTCAACGGGTATCTTAACCAGGAAGTAGGAGACAGAAACAACAGAATGAGGTTGGTGGTAGATCATCAAGAGCTCTGATTTAGACATGTTAAGTGTTACATGCCTGTCTAGCAGACATCTAAATGTTAGGTAGGCAGTTGGATATATTAGTATGGAAATCAGGAAGAGGTTTGGGATAGAGATAAAATCTCATCAGTAGATAAATATCCAGGCCCAGGTAAGGAAGACAATTACCTAAGATGCCAATATAGACAAAGGGACCATTTGGTTATTCATTTTCTAAAATGTTTAGGTAAATTGTTTAATTTTCTTAGGTTTCAGTTTCTAACGTGACTGTTGGAACTAGGTGATTTGTGTGAGCCCTTAAAAATATAAAGTTCCGCAGAGGCAACTTTCCTTATTGTGCTAGGACTAATATTATCACCTTCACCCCATTCTAAAACAAAGTTCAAACAAACAAAAAACTGGGTTGTTTAAGCTGAACCGAAAAACTTAACATAGAAGTTGGGAATTTTAATCCAAGCTCTTCATTCTACAAATGTAAAAACTCAAGTTCCTAGGTAAGATACAGGCTATGCCAGAGCAGTAAGCAGGCAAGCCAAGCCTCAAGCTAACCGTTATTGCTCAATCTACTAAGGTAAGCACGTGGGTAACTGGACAAGGAAACGGGGGGTGGGAGGGCTTTACAGTCATTTCCAAAGGCAAAGCAAATCTCATTTTGGGTCTTAACAGATCTGGAGAACCAGGCCTATCCAGTATCTTAAGGACCTACCTTGGGGGCATTGTGTCCCACGGGGACGTGAGGTCCCCTTCGGGATTTCATTGCAAACCGCATGATTTGCCTCTTCACAAAAATAAAGAGCAGTACAAACACCTGTCCAAGTGAGAAAAGTAAAGAATCTTAAGTAAAAAGACAGTGAAAACAAGTAAAATCATGCCTTCATTTTAGATCCCCAGATTCAGGTTCTCAGGGAGGTTTTAGGGGTACAACTTGGGGCAGTAAGGCCATTAGAAACGGGGCGTATAAATGGAAGCCAGCAGCACTACGGCGTGGGGGTCTGCCTTAGGGTTCAGGGGGAGGAATCTCTAGCAGGGTCGGGGCAGCGTACGCCTAAGATAGGACTCAAAACCCAGAAAAAGTGCAAGTAAGTAGAGAATGAGGACAGGGAACTGCTCACGAGGAAAGATTCTACGGGGTCACACCCAACATCAGGAACGGGTAAGGGGAATCTCCTCACCAGGCTCCCGTAGGCCATCACCAGCACGACATTCACCCCCGACAGCCAGTTACTGCCGGACGCCATGGCCTCCCCACCCCGCGCAGAACGGCTCCGGTTTACCCCGCTGCCCTGCCTCGTCACCCTGGGCTTTTCCGAGGCAAAGGCGCCGGGGTCCCCTGAAGCTCTCCGGCCATTTCCTTACGGGGAACGACCAAGGCTGACTCGGCCAGAAAACATGGCGGATGAGAGAGTGCTGGGAAAGAAGAACGACACCTTCCCGCTTCCCCCCAACACGTGACTCAGGTACGCAATGGCAGCCGGGAGCGGGGAGCGCGGACATGCGGAACTACGCCAGTAAGAGGAAGCGTAGGCCGCTTGTGGATCACGTGGTGGGGGGCGTGGCCGCCTTGGAGGAGGCTGTAGAGGGGAGCGACGCAGGGAGCCGGAGTGAGGTGTCTCGTGGCGAGGCTGCACGCGCACGCTTGCGTGCGCGTCCCTTTCGCGTCACGTGCTGGGGGACGCAGGAAGGCAAGTGGGAGGGGGAAGGCGCGAGCGCGAGCGCGAGAGGGAAAAGGAGGGATGGGGGCGGGGAGGAGGGAACCTTATATCACGTGACAGGGGCGGCGCGGCCCGGGGTGTCAGTGTGGAGGAGACTGAGGTAAAGTTGGGAGCGCAGCGGTGTTGGCGGCGGCGGCGGTAGCAGCGGCAGCGCGGCGGGGCCGGGTATTGTCCGCGGCCCCTTTAAATCCGCGATCCCCCTTTTTACCCTCCCTCCTTTCTCTCCTACCCCGCCGTGTCCCCCTCCCTTGGTAGGCCCCCCCCCCCGCACCGTGTGTTCTCCCACTGTACATCCCCCCAGTCGTGCGAGCCCTGGCTACTACCTCCCCTCCCCCAGTCGGCCGCCGGAGATTTTGTTTATGGTTGGGTTCGCGGCCTAGTGGGCCTTACCAGAGCCGGGGCCTCGATTTGGGAGCGTGGCCGGGGCGGGGCTTGGGGCAGCCGGAGGGGGGGGCATGCGGCTAGAGCCTGAGGTGGGGGAGAGCGAGAAAGAGCGCGAGCGAGCGAGGCCTGGGCCCCGCCTGAGGTAGGGCCCTGTCTACCCCGGCCGGTTCCTGTGGAGAAGATGAGGGGGGCCTTCTCCCTTTCAACCCTCTGTGGGCCTCTTATCCGGATCCGGTCTGGTTTGGGGGTGGCGGAGCGGAGGGAGGGTGATGGGGTGGAGCTGCCCCAAGCTCCCCCATGTGGCCCTCAGTTTGGAGTGCGGGGGATTAAATTGTTCCGGGTGGGAGGTAAGGAGGAGATGTGGCGCCGCTGAGCGGGTGAGCCTCCCATCCTCCACGCGTGGGCTTGCGTCCCCTCTCCGTTTCCAGCTTCTTTGTCAGGTTCTCTTATTACCCTTCCTTCTTTCTCACCGCCCCAGCTTTTGGAATATATATTTTGCTTCTGTCTTTAGTTTTTTGTTATTCATAATGTGGTTTGGGGTACCCCAAACAATTACGGTGTTATTTGGGAAGCTGGACATGGAGGCCCCCATCGAGTGCGCCCAAGGGACGCCACTAGAGCACTGGAGTATTTGTTCACTCTTCTCATAATGGGACAGGGATTCCAAATTTCTTCAGACCCGTCAGCCTGTGAGCATTTCCTAAATTTGCTTTGCAAACTGATGTCACAAACAGCAGACTGCTCCTTTTCCACCATTCTTGAATTGTAGCCACCTCTGGTGTAAGATATTGTGGAAAGAAAAACACCACAGTAACAGACGTTTTTCTTGTTATTGTTACCGTGTTGCCTTTGACTGTCCCTGGTTATTAGATGGAGAAATTCCTTTTTTGTCTTACTCCTATCCACCTCCCACCACCTATATCTTGCTTTGGGAATATTTGATGTACTGTAACTTGCTGGGAGGCGATGAGAGTCCGTGACAACCAACATTACTATTGAACTGAAACGTTTTGGCTGTGCATGGGTTGATAAAACTGCTTTGAGATCCTACACCATTGTCCTTAAAAGATTAGAATATGCCAGTGATTATTTCCGTTATGAACAGGAAGTATTTCTGGTGTGTAAACTCATGATGAAAGGCCTAAAGATGTACTGTTTTTGACTTTTAAAGCCCCTTATTTAACATGTTCTGACTGGGGAGTACTCTTTTTAAAAATTAGATTCATGTCAATGGACAGGGGGATGCAGGGGTCATTATCATAAAACATCCAGTGGAATTAGTTGCTTTGTTATAGGTAGTAAACCCTACACACCCCAATCCAGCTGCAGAATTTCTGAATTGCTTCTCAAATTAGATTGTAAGCTCCCTGAGGGCAGCAACCAAGTCACATTGTTTTTGTATTTCTTAAGTGCTGGACACAGTAGATACTCAATAAATACTTACTATTTATTTTTTTCTGTAAAACTTCTCTGGCTATTTTTTTAAGTAGCTGGTTTTCCAAAAATGGTCAAGGGCACTCCTGTGTTGAAACCTGTATTTGTTCCTGCAGTAGACCGTTGGTTCTCACCTATTTCCCTTATACTCTTTTTTTTTTTTTTTAAGAAAATTTAACAAAATTCCTCATCGCCACTGTGGTAACTTTGGGTATATGTCTCTGCTTACTACTAGAAAGCTGCTAGTTCTGTGCCCTCCAGTGTTCCATCCCAGATCACTTACCTGTTGCTCAGTGTTGTTACTACGTAGGTGGTAAAATTTTCTTAGACATACTTTTCAAAGTTCTTGTAAGAGGGAAAATAGAAATTAATAGCAAGAGTGATCAGGAGGATTTCATTTTTTTCTTTCTTGAGTTTATGTGGCTTTCAAGATAACAATATATTGATTAGTACAGTATATGCAGTCATCCATATAGATAGGTAGTCATGCTCACAGATTGAAATCATACGTGGAGAGGAAAGCAGTCAATAGTTACAGGAATGGCTACCCCCATATTAGAAACTACATCTTAGAGCCGATTATTAAGCATAACGATTTTTCCTCTAGTTTCAATTTTTTTTTTTCCACTTTGAGTCCAGGAGTACTTGGTTTAAAAAAATTTTTTTCTTTTTTTTAAATTAAGTGTTGAAACTTCACTATAATGCCAGCCTGGGAAACTGGACTGTGCAGCAAATAATCCCATACTTTAGCTAGAAGTATTTATAAGCCTTTGTGTGGGGGAGAGGTAATGGTTAAAAATTCGTCCCTTAAAACTCTTGGTGATAGAAGATGTAGAATTCTTAATGAATGCATTAAAAGTCAAAGATCTGTGCAACCTATTGGTCCAAATTGTTGAAGTATTTCTCTCCAAGGAAGTCAGCTTTCTTTGTGACCAAGAAACAGGTGAAACTCAATATCCTAATAGTTTATCTTTGCATATTTTTTTAGGAGCCTACCTTAATTCACAAGTCCAGCAATATCTTCTTAGTAGTCTAGAATTACCCTGTATAAAGTATTAACCAAAAATGAATAAATATAGAGCATAAAAGTATAAACTTGTACTCTTTGGAAGGGAATAAAACAATGCAAAGTAACCTCTTTCTCTGAGCACTCCATCATGTAATGTTTTCTTTGTTTACTAAATTCAGTAGCTGAGATTGCATTATAAAGCAAAGTGTGAATGAAGAGAACCTAAATTTTGTGGAATCTTTGCTTGTTAGAAGTGTTAAAAGCTGTGCTGGTTTGGGGAAGGAAGGTCGTGTATCTTGTGTTTCTTTAAAGAAAACAAAGTTCTCTTGCTCTGCAATAATGTCTCAAGTTTAAAATGATTTTCCAGAAGCCTTTTTTCCAAATAAAACTTGTGCTAGATTTGAGTTTGGGACAGATTTGGGATTCTTTATAAAGGTGAGTGGTGGAGGGTCATTGTAATTCTGGTTCCTTGGAGCTGTGGATTACGGGACCAACAGAAGCAGCTGCAAAAGCAAAATGTAGGAATTATTTTCCAAAGAAATGAGGTTATAGACAAAGTAACTGGGGCTAATACAAACTTTGTAGAAAGCTGTGGAAGACCCCACAACATGCTGAGAGATAGAAACTTGGAGAAAGAGGCTAGACTTGAGCGTGTGCTTTTCCAAATGATGGAGGTCATGTGCAACTTAAAGGGTTGTAAGACAGGTAATGCTATTTTTGTAGGTGGGTTGAATGCAGTATTTAAAGTTTTTTTAAATTTGGTTTATAGACTAATCCCCTTCCCGGAAGACTTTTGTTTCCAGGCTTTGATTATCTTCTGTCAAAGGGATTTTAGGTATTTTTACCTATGTAGAAGGTTGTTGATTAATTAATATTGTTTGACTTACTATGAAGGTAGCAAAACTTCACAAATCCTGATTGTAGGGAACTAGTAAACAAACTGTGCCCATAACTTTAAAAAAGCAAAACTATCACTTAATACATGTTTTATATATTTCTTAATATACAAAAATGCTAACATCCGTAGTTCTGTAAGGAATTTATCAAACTAAATATGTCTGAAGAACAGGTGATCATCTTGGTTTGTTACTTTGGAGAAATGAAGATGTTTCATGAAGGTGCTGATGAAAGAAGTAGAAAACTTATTTTGCCCACATTTAACATCTAAACTTTTTTTTTTAATCTTTCAGTATTCTACCTTGTAAATACTGTTATTTGTATATACTGTAAATGATGACGTCGGTGGGCACTAACCGAGCCCGGGGAAACTGGGAACAACCTCAAAACCAAAACCAGACACAGCACAAGCAGCGACCACAGGTAAAGGGGAACCCAAGGGATATGGATCCATGGGTAGCCTTGCTGGTTGATTCTGGTTTCCATCAAGTGCAGCATCATTCTGTGCTTTGGATTGTTGATTTCGGTTCTTCATTCTTATTTTCCAGCCCTAGCCTTGTTTTACCTGGGGCCTGATAACTGTTAATGACATGATGTGACATAACATGCTTACTTTTTGTTCTTTAACACTGAATTATGAGGCTTTGAAAGAATGGCTCTTGTGCTTTGTATCTCTAAGATAGCATTTCCCTTCTTTATCTGGGTTGTCTAAGCAATACATTTCTTATTTCCTAGACCTTCCACCATGATGTCTCTTTAGCCCACCTTTGTTTCGCCATCTTTCCCCTTTCCTTTGTTCTTATTTTTCCTAACTTTTTATCTTCCTCTCTGGTCTCATGGAGGCCTAATTTGATACTTCCTTTTCCACAAGGAAATAGCATTTTTACTATTTTCCTTCAGAATTAACAAAATGAGACACCATAGAGTATTGTTTAGTTTTAAGGAGTAAATTAGCCTCCTGGGTGTGGAGGTTTGTGGGTTTTTGTTTGTTT